TAGTACTAACTATAGTAGTTAGTACTATAGTAGTTAGTACTAACTATAGTAGTTAGTACTAACTATAGCAGTTAGTACTAACTATAGCAGTTAGTAAGTGACCACAGTAGAAAGGGCTTACCTGGCTTGAAGGTCATCCATGGCCACTGCACCACTGCCACAACTACCGGTACCACCGCCACAACTACCGGTGCGACCAAAACCACCGGTACCACCGCCACAACTACCGGTACCACCGCCACAACTACCGGTGCGACCACAACCACCGGTACCACCGCCACAACTACCGGTACCATCGCCACAACTACTGGTGCGACCACAACTACCGGTACCACCGCCACAACTACCGGTGCCACCGCCACAACTACCGGTGCGACCACAACCACCGGTGCCATCGCCACAACTACCGGGGCCATCGCCACAACTACCGGTGCCATCGCCACAACCACCGGTGCCACCGACACAAACACCGGTACCACCGACACAACTACCGGTGCCATCGCCACAACCACCGGCGCGACCACAACCACCGGTGCCGTCGCCGCCACAACTACCGGGGCCGCTGCCGCTGCTGCTCGTCCTGGGCCTGGCCCTTCTCGCGACCGCCGGCGGCGGCGGCGCGGCATCGGCGTCGGCGTCGGCGTCGCGGTCCGTGGAGGACGTCACCGCCCGCGACTTCCTGGCCCAGTTCGACACCGAGGCCCAGGCTCTGTACTACGCCTACGCCCTGGCTGACTGGGACTACAACACCAACGTCACGGACGCCAACGCGCAAGCTTCGGTCGGTACCGGGGTGGGGTGATGGGTGGGCGTGTGACGTCGGGTGGACGTCACGGGGGTGGGCGGATGTTGGGGTTGGCGTTAGGACGATCTTGAGTTGGCTTGGTGGTCGACGTTGGGTCGACGTTGGGGTTGGCGTTGGGGTGACGCTAGGACAGTCTGGAGTTGGCATGGGGTCGACGTTGGGGTTGGCGTTGGGTTGACGCTAGGACAATCTTGAGTTGGCATGGGCCAACGTTGGGTCAACGTTGGGTTGATGTTGGGTTGACGCTAGGACAATCTGGAGTTGGCATGGGCCAACGTTGGGTCAACGTTGGGTCGACGTTGGGTTGACGCTAGGACAATCTGGAGTTGGCATGGGGTCGACGGTGGGTCAACGTTGGGTCGACGTTGTGTCGACGTTGGGTTGACGCTAGGACGATCTTGAGTTGACATGGGTCAACGTTGGGTCGACATTGGGTTGACGCTAGGACAATCTTGAGTTGACAAGGGGCCAACGTTGGGTTGACGTTTTGTTGACGCTAGAACAATCTGGAGTTGACAAGGGGCCAACGTTGGGTTGACGTTGGGTTGACGCTAGGACAATCTTGAGTTGACATGGGCCAACATTGGGTCAACGTTGGGTCGACGTTGGGTTGACGTTGGGTTGACGCTTGAACAAATCTTGAGTTGACAAGGGGCCAACGTTAGGCCGACGTTGGGTTGATGTTGGGTTGACGCTAGGACAATCTGGAGTTGGCATGGGGTCAACGGTGGGTCAACGTTGGGTTGACGTTGTGTCGACGTTGGGTTGACGCTAGGACGATCTTGAGTTGGCATGGGGCCAACGTTGGGTCAACGTTGGGTTGACGCTAGGACAATCTGGAGTTGGCATGGGGTCGACGTTGGGTCGACGTTGGGTCGACGTTGGGTTGATGTTGGGTTGACGCTAGGACAATCTTGAGTTGACATGGGTCAACGTTAGGCCGACGTTGGGTTGACGTTGGGTTGACGCTAGGACAATCTGGAGTTGGCATGGGGTCGACGGTGGGTCAACGTTGGGTTGACGTTGTGTCGACGTTGGGTTGACGCTAGGACGATCTTGAGTTGACAAGGGGCCAACGTTGGGTCGACGTTGGGTTGACGCTAGGACAATCTTGAGTTGACATGGGCCAACATTGGGTCAACGTTGGGTTGACGTTCGGTTGACGCTTGAACAAATCTTGAGTTGACAAGGGGCCAACGTTAGGCCGACGTTGGGTTGACGTTGGGTTGACGTTGGGTTGACGCTTGAACAATCTGGAGTTGACATGGGTCAACGTTGGGTCGACGTTGGGTTGACGCTAGGACAATCTTGAGTTGACAAGGGACCAACGTTGGGTCAACGTTGGGTTGACGTTGGGTTGACGCTTGAACAATCTGGAGTTGACATGGGCCAACGTTGGGTCGACGTTGGGTTGACGTTGGGTTGACGTTGGGTTGACGTTGGGTTGACGCTAGGACAATCTTGAATTGGCATGGGCCAACGTTGGGTTGACGTTGGGTTGACGCTTGAACAATCTTGAGTTGGCAAGGGACCAACGTTGGGTCAACGTTGGGCCAACGTTGGGTCGACGTTGGGTTGACGTTGGATTGACGCTAGGACAATCTTGAGTTGGCATGGGTCAACGTTGGGTCAACGTTGGGTCGACGTTGGGTTGACGTTGGGTTGACGCTTGAACAATCTTGAGTTGACATGGGCCAACGTTGGGTCAACGTTGGGTCGACGTTGGGTTGACGTTGGATTGACGCTAGGACAATCTTGAGTTGGCATGGGTCAACGTTGGGTCAACGTTGGGTCGACGTTGGGTTGACGTTGGGTTGACGCTTGAACAATCTTGAGTTGACATGGGCCAACGTTGGGTCGACGTTGGGTTGACGTTGGGTTGACGTTGGATTGACGCTAGGACAATCTGGGGTTGACGTTGGGTTGACGTTGGGTTGACGTTGGATTGACGCTAGGACAATCTGGGGTTGACATGGGCCAACGTTGGGTTGACGTTGGGTTGACGCTAGGACAATCTAGAGTTGGCATGGGTCAACGTTGGGCCAACGTTGGATTTACGTTGGAACAATCTTGACTTGACATTGGACCGACGTTGAGTTGACGTTGAACCAACCTTGGGTTGACGTTGGACCAACGTTGAGTTGACGTTGTACCAACATTGAGCTTGACGTTTTGCCAACGTTGGGTTGACGTTTGGCCAACGTTGGATCAATGTTGGACCAACGTTGGATCAACGTTGGGTTGACGTTGGGCCAACGTTGGGCTGACGCTTGAACAATCTTGAGTTGGCATAGGCCAACGTTGGGGTGACGTTGGGCCAACGTTGGGTTAACAATGGAACAACGTTGGGCCGACGTTGGAACAACGTTGTGTTGACGTTGGACCTACATTGGGTTGACATTGGTCCGACGTTAAGTTGACGTTGGACCAACCTTGGGTTGACGTTGGACCAACGTTGAGTTGACGTTGTACCAACGTTGAGCTTGACGTTTTGCCAACGTTGGGTTGGCGTTTGGCCAACGTTGGGTTGACGTTGGGCCAATGATGTTGGGTGGACGTTTGACCAACGTTGGCCCAATGTTGGGTTGACGTTGGACCAACGTTGGGCCAACGTTGGGTTGACGTTGAGACAACGTTGGGGTGACGTTTGGCCAAAGTTAGGGTGACGTTTGGCCAACGTTGGGTTGACGTTCGGCCAAGAATGTTCGGTTGACGTTTGACTAACGTTGGGTTGACGTTGGACCCTATATAACGGCTCAAGATTGTATTCTGTTTTTACACAGAATACAAACTTCCACAGACAACGAAAGATAGAATATACTGCAGTGTCATTTTTGCGGGGCGACGTTTCGGGCAACAGCCCTTCTTCACCAGCGCATAAATGATCGACTCGCTTCCATGCGTGCGCTCTGGAGGAGGGCCATTGCCCGAATCGTCGGCTGTTTAGTTCACCGATGTGCGTTTGCTTCTTGATTGCCGAGTACTCGGGGAAGAAATCTGCGGAAGCCCCCTCACTGATGTGTGTGTGCGTTGCGTCTTAGCGGCCGATTTCTACGGGAAGAAATCCGCGGAAGCCCTTTACTGATGTGTGTGTGAATGCTGCTGCATAGCTACTGATTTCTATCAGAAGAAATCTGCGGAAGCCCCCTCACTGATGTGTGTGTACGTTGCATCATAGCGGCCGAGTTCTACGGGAAGAAATCCGAGGAAGCCCCCCTCACTGATGTGTGTGTGAATGCTGCTGCATAGCTACTGATTTCTACAGGAAGAAATCCGCGGAAGCCCCTCACTGATGTTTGTGTACGTTGCGTCATGGCGGCCGAGTTCTATGGGAAGAAATCTGAGGAAGCCCCCCCTCACTGATGTGTGTGTGAATGCTGCTTCATAGCTACCGATTTCTATCAGAAGAAATCAGTGGAAGCCCCCTCGCTAACGTGAATGTTGCGTCTTAGCTGCGGAGTTATATGCGAAGAAATTCGAGGAAGCCCCTCTCAATGATGTGTGTGTGTGAATGCTGCTCCATAGCTACCGAGTTATGAGAAGAAATCCGTGGAAGCCGCTCACTGATGTGTGTGTGTTGCGTTTTCGCTGCTCAATTATATTGGAAGAAATCTGCGTAAGCGCCTCACTGATGCGCCTGAATGCTGCGTCTTAGTCGCCGAGTTCTATGGAAAGAAATCCGCGGAAGCCCCCATCACCGATGCGTGTGAATGCTGCGTCTTAGTCGCCGAGTTCTATGGAAAGAAATCCGCGGAAGCCCCCCCTCACCGATGCGTGTGAATGCTGCGTCTTAGCGGCCGAGTTCTATGGAAAGAAATCCGCGGAAGCCCCCCCTCACCGATGCGTGTGAATGCTGCGTCTTAGTCGCCGAGTTCTATGGAAAGAAATCCGCGGAAGCCCCTCACTAACGTGCATGATGCGTCTTAGCGGCCGAGTTCTATGGAAAGAAATCCGCAGAAGCCCCCCGTCAACCGATGCGTGTGAATGCTGCGTCTTAGTCGCCGAGTTCTATGGAAAGAAATCCGCGGAAGCCCCCCCCCCCCTCACCGATGCGTGTGAATGCTGCGTCTTAGTCGCCGAGTTTCTATGGAAAGAAATCCGCGGAAGCCCCCCCCCCCCTCACCGATGCGTGTGAATGCTGCGTCTTAGCGGCCGAGTTCTATGGAAAGAAATCCGCGGAAGCCCCCCCCCCCCTCACCGATGCGTGTGAATGCTGCGTCTTAGTCGCCGAGTTCTGTGGGAAGAAATCTGCGGAAGCGCCCCACACCGAGCTACCCGTGTGCGTGTTTCTCAGAATGTGAAGGCCGCCGAGTGGTCCGAGTTCTACGGGAAGAAATCCGCGGAAGCTCGCCAGTTCGACTTGTCTAAGATCACCGACCGGACGCTGAAACAGCAGCTGGAGATCCTGCGGGAGGAGGGGAGTGGAGCCCTTTCGCCTGACAAGTACGCACAGGTACGCAGGCAGCATCATCGTCAGCAGCAGCAGCATCAGCAGCAGTAGCAGCATAAGCAGCAGCAACGTCAGCAGCAGCAGCATCAGCAGCAGTAGCATGAGCAGCAGTAGCATCGTCAGAATTAGCATCATCATCAGCAGCATCATCATCAGCAGCATCATCAGCAGCAGCATCATCATCAGCAGCAGCAGCTGCAGCAGCATCATCAGTAGCAGTAGCTGCAGCATCATCATCAGTAGCATCATCATCAGCAGCAGCATTAGCAGCAGCATCATCAGCAGCAGCAACATCATCAGCAGCAGCAGCAGCATCACCATCAGCAGCAGCAGCATCATCATCAGCAGCATCATCATCAGCAGCAGCAGCATCATCAGAAGCAGCATCATCAGCAGCAGCATCATCATCAACAGCAGCATCAGCAGCATCTGCTGCAGCATCATCATCATCAGCATCATCAGCAGCATCATCATCAGCAGCAGCAGCATCGTCAGAAGTAGCAACGTCGTCACCGGCAACAGTAGCAGCAGCATCATCATCAGAATAATCAGTGGTATCGGCAGCAGCATCATCATCAGCAGCATCATCATCAGTGTATTCGATTAATGGTTATTTCGGGTTAACAGTAATTCAACACTACTAGTATAACCCATAACGGATGTTTTCGGGCTTGGTTAGCGTAAAATAGAAATGCTTGATTTGGTTAAACCCGCCCCCATCCGACGACACAGCCAATGGGGGTAAGGGGATTTGTCACGTGATCCTCATGGTGGTACCAAATGAAACAAAATGGCCGAGGCAATGAAACGCGTTGCAGTAAAACCTTTGGATTGCGAGCGCAATTTCTTTGCTGAAACGTGTTTGTAATCCAAAGCGCCCGTACGTCAAAGCGCTCCCGCAGGGTACCGGTTGTGATCACGGTGACGCTCGGCGAGACCAAGCGTACTTACACGTCACGTCGCTCGTAACTGCAAGACCCTCGCTCGTTCATCAAGTTATTACATTCATTTACAAAATTTCTGCTCGTCTTGCGAAACGCTCGCAGGCCAAGTTGCTCGCAACCCTCAAGTGTTTCGCTGTACTTTCTGGGACGCTATTTTTGTCCCCAGGGATGGGCGCCTGGCTCCGGCGACTCGGGGTACCGATAGATCCGAAATCGGTGGCACTGCGCGATGTTGAAACGCCAAACACTCGCGTTGATAAAAAATTAAAAAGAAAATCCGTTATCGAAACGTTGAACTTTGAATAGCGCAAACCTGGGTTCGAAGATTTCGCGGCTGCAGGAATTTAACCTTTGGTTCCTTCGGTAAAGTCACGGAGAATTGAATGTAATTAAATAATAATGATGGGATACGACGTTTCGATTGCAACACAAGCGACCATCATCAGGTACAAGTGAATGAGAAAACAATAACTAGTAAACTTGGAAATGAAATGCAATACAACACAGAGAGTCGGCTAATGTAAAAGTCAACACCCCACCTGGTTGATTCTGTTCCTCCAAAGATTGAGGAATTTGAGAGAGAGAGAGACTCACACAGAGACACACAAGCAGAGAGAGACTCACACAGAGACACACAGACAGACACACAGAGAGAGACACACAGAGACACACAGAGAGAGACACACAGAGACACACAGAGATAGACACAAGCAGAGAGAGATACACACAGAGACACACAGAGAGAGACACACACATAGACACACAGAGACAAACAGAGAGAGACACACAGACAGACACACAAGCACAGAGAGACTCACACAGAGACACACAGAGAGAGACTCACACAGAGACACACAGAGAGAGACACAAGCAGAGAGAGACACACAGAGAGAGACACACAACGTAGACACACAGACAGACACACAAGCAGAGAGAGACTCACACAGAGACACACAGAGAGAGACTCACACAGAGACACACAGAGAGAGACTCACATAGAGACACACAGAGAGAGATTCACAAAGAGAGAGACACACACAGAGACACAGAGAGAGACACACACATAGACACACACACAGACACACACACACACACAAGCAGACACACAAGCAGAGAGAGACTCACACAGAGACACACAGAGAGAGAGACACACAACATAGACACAAAGACAGAGACAGAAGCAGAGAGAGACTCACACAGAGAGACAGAGACACATATATAGACACACAGACAGACACACAAGCAGAGAGATACTCACAGAGACACACAGAGAGAGACACACAACATGGGCACACAGGCAGACACACAAGCGGAGAGAGACTCACACAGAGACAAACAGAGATAGACACAAGCAGAGAGAGAGACACACATAGACACACAGAGACAAACAGAGAGAGACACACAGACAGACACACAAGCAGAGAGATACTCACAGAGACACACAGAGAGAGACACACAACATGGGCACACAGGCAGACACACAAGCGGAGAGAGACTCACACATAGACAAACAGAGAGAGAGACACACACATAGACAACACAGAGAAACAACGCCTCTGTGTCGAGGCCTTAAATAGAGAGAGAGGGGGTTAGTGCTGGGTTTAACTCTCCAACACACAGCAACCGGTTAGTGCTGTACTAGTAACGAATTGTAAATGTTGTAGTTCGTTTAACTCTCCAACACACACAACCGGTTAGTGCTGTACTAGTAACGAATTGTAAATGTAGTAGTGGGTTTAACTCTCCAACACACAGCAACCGGTTAGTGCTGTACTAGTAACGAATTGTAAATGTAGTAGTGGGTTTAACTCTCCAACACACAGCAACCGGTTAGTGCTGTACTAGTAACGAATTGTGAATGTTGTAGTGGGTTTAACTCTCCAACACACAGCAACCGGTTAGTGCTGTACTAGTAACTAATTGTGAATGTTGTAGTGGGTTTAACTCTCCAACACACAGCAACCGGTTAGTGCTGTACTAGTAACTAATTGTGAATGTTTTAGTGGGTTTAACTCTCCAACACACAGCAACCGGTTAGTGCTGTACTAGTAACGAATTGTAAATGTTATAGTGGGTTTAACTCTCCAACACACAGCAACCGGTTAGTGCTGTACTAGTAACGAATTGTGAATGTTGTAGTGGGTTTAACTCTCCAATACACAGCAACCGGTTAGTGCTGTACTAGTAACGAATTGTAAATGTAGTAGTTGGTTTAACTCTCCAACACACAGCAACCGGTTAGTGCCATACTAGTAACGAATTGTAAATGTAGTAGTGGGTTTAACTCTCCAACACACAGCAACCGGTTAGTGCTGCACTAGTAACGAATTGGCCACGTTCTGTTTACGTGACAAACCCCTTACTAGTTGGCTGCGTCGGGTGGTGGCGGGTTTAACGACACAACATTTATTTATATCAGAACTCCTCTACCTACGTACGAGTTAGGTTACAGAGGTCCCAACTGTACTCCTGTCGATTCCAAACGTGTTGTGCGGCGTGTACACTAGACACGGGGAATGGTTTTCAAAGTTGTATAATCTCCTGTAGATGTAGATTCCACTGGTTCTTCACGTTCTGCAGATGTAGATGCCACTGGTTCTTCATGTTATGTAGATGTAGATGCAACTGGTTCTTCACGTTCTGCAGATGTAGATGCAACTCGTTCTTCACGTTCTGCAGATGTAGATGCCACTGGTTCTTCATGTCCATCAGATGTAGATGCCACTGGTTCTTCACGTTCTGCAGATGTATATGCCACTGGTTTTTCACATTCTGTAGATCTAGATGCCACTGGTTCTTCACGTTCTGCAGATGTAGATGCCACTGGTTCTTTATGTTCTGTAGATGTAGATGCCACTGGTTCTTTACGTTCTGCAGATGTAGATGCCACTGGTTCTTCACGTTATGTAGATGCCACTGGTTCTTCACGTTCTACAGATGTAGATGGCACTGGTTCTGCAGATGTAGATGCCACTGGTTCTTCATATTCTCCAGATGTAGATGCCACCGGTTATTCAAGTTCTCCAGATATGCCACTGGTTATTCACGTTCTGCAGACGTAGATGCCACTGGTTCTTCACGTTCTGCAGATGTAGATGCAACTGGTTCTTGACGTTCTGCAGATGTAGATGCCACTGGTTTTTCACATTCTGTAGATCTAGATGCCACTGGTTCTTCACGTTCTGCAGATGTAGATGCCACTGGTTCTTCACGTTATGTAGATGCCACTGGTTCTTCACGTTCTACAGATGTAGATGCCACTGGTTCTGCAGATGTAGATGCCACTGGTTCTTCATATTCTACAGATATAGATGCCACCGGTTATTCACGTTCTCCAGATATACCACTGGTTATTCACGTTCCGCAGACGTAGATGCCACTGGTTCTTCATGTTCTGTAGATGTAGGTGAAACTGGTTCTTCACGTTCTGCAGATGTAGATGCCACTGGTTCTTCACGTTCTGCAGATGTAGATGTCACTGGTTGTTCACGTTCTGCAGATGTAGATGCCACCACCACCATCTATTGCGCGGCAATTGAACTTACGACCCTCGGTCCGAACAGGCATCTAGACATCCGGACGGGTTTATTTGTATCTCTGAAAGTTCCTAAGTCGAATGTTCGTAAGAAGAGGAGTCCCTGTACTGTCGAATGCCGACTGTTAATTGATGGTGACTGATTGTGGTATGACGTTGTCTTGTTGCTGCTGCTGCTGTTTCTACTACTGCTGTTTCTACTACTGCTGCTACTGCTACTACTGCTGCTGCTACTACTACTGCTGCTACTACTGCTGCTGCTACTACTGCTGCTACTACTCCTGCTACTACTATTACTGCTACTACGACTGCTGCTGCTACTACTACTGCTACTACTATTACTGCTACTACGACTGCTGCTGCTGCTACTACTACTACTGCTGCTGCTACTACTACTACTGCTGCTACTACTATTACTGCTACTACTACTACTGCTGCTACTACTATTACTGCTACTACGACTGCTGCTGCTACTATGGCTGCTGCTGCTACTACTGCTGCTACTACTACTGCTGCTGCTACTACTGTTACTACTACTGCTGCTACTACTGTTACTACTACTGCTGCTACTACTGCTACTACTGTTACTACTACTGCTGCTGCTACTGCTGCTACTACTACTGCTGCTGCTGCTACTGCTGCTACTACTACTACTGCTGCTACTACTGCTGCTACTGCTGCTACTACTACTGCTGCTACTACTACTACTACTGCTGCTACTACTGTTGCTGCTACTACTACTACTGTGGCTGTGTTTTGTAGCTGAACGCAGTCATGGGCAACATGAGCAACATCTACAGCACCAGCAGGATCTGCTATCCAGACGACCCAAGCAAATGTCTGAGACTGGACCCAGGTAAATGCCGGTGCCTGTAACACCCGTGGGTCCCTATGAGTACGGGGTGCGGTCAGGGGAGGCAGGGGGAGGCAGAGCCTCACCTGTTATACTCCAATGAAAATAGCTGTTACGAAAAAAAAAATCAAATAAAAAATTTATATTAAGATTTTTGCCACTGATCTGTGTTACAAATGTCATTTCTGTACGATTTCAATCATTCGCTGCCTCGCGAGTTGGTGAGAGAGGTGAGGCAGCGACGAGCTCAGCCTCCCCTCTGATTGCGCAACACCCTCAGTGACTGGATGGAGCGCGGGCAATAAGCACGTGCCTGTTACTATCTCAGTACGTCACCAATGTGATGTTTGTAGACCCCTTAATTTCATGTCCTCGTCTTCCATACTCCAGGTTAACTTATTTCACTTAATATGCGCATAAAGGTATTTAGGCTCGCTGCTTTCGTCATGAAACTGCAATGAAAAAGCACCAGGGGAGGCAGCTGTCACATCTGCCTCACCGAAGGGGGACGTGTCTAACACGCCCCCCTCTGCGAGGCCACGCCCCCTCAGCGAGGCCACGCCCCCCTCAGTGAGGCCACGCCCCCCTCAGTGTGTGAATCTGGCTTTGACACTAGCCACTGCCTCCCCAGCCATTGACCTCACCGCACGTCACTGGTACGGAGAGGGGGCGGGAGGTCTCTATGGGTCTCTATGAGTACGGGGGGAGGTCTCTGTGGGTCTCTATGAGTTCGGGAGGGGGTCTCTATGGGTCTCTATGAGTACGGGGGGAGGTCTCTGTGGGTCTCTATGAGTACGGGGGGAGGTCTCTGTGGGTCTCTATGAGTACGGGGGGAGGTCTCTGTGGGTCTCTATGAGTATGGTAGGGGTCTCTGTGGGTCTCTATGAGTACGGGGGGAGGTCTCTGTGGGTCTCTATGAGTACGGGGGGAGGTCTCTGTGGGTCTCTATGAGTACGGGGGGAGGTAGGTCTCTGTGGGTCTCTATGAGTACGGGGGGGGGGTCTCTGTGGGTCTCTATGAGTACGGGAGGGGGTCTCTGTGGGTCTCTATGAGTACGGGGAGGGGTGGGGGAGATCTCTATGTGTCTCTATGAGTACGGGGGGAGGTCTCTGTGGGTCTCTATGAGTACGGGGGGAGGTCTCTGTGGGTCTCTATGAGTACGGGGGGAGGTCTCTGTGGGTCTCTATGAGTACGGGAGGGGGTCTCTGTGGGTCTCTATGAGTACAGGGGGAGGTCTCTGTGGGTCTCTATGAGTACGGGGGGGGAGGTCTCTGTGGGTCTCTATGAGTACGGGAGGGGGTCTCTGTGGGTCTCTATGAGTACGGGAGGGGGTCTCTGTGGGTCTCTATGAGTACGGGGGGAGGTCTCTGTGGGTCTCTATGAGTACGGGGGGAGGTCTCTGTGGGTCTCTGAGTACGGGGGTAGGTCTCTGTGGGTCGCTATGAGTACGGGGAGGGAGGGGCGAGGTCTCTGTGGGTCTCTATGAGTACGGGGGGAGGTCTCTGTGGGTCTCTATGAGTACGGGGAGGGGGTCTCTGTGGGTCTCTATGAGTACGGGGGGAGGTCTCTGTGGGTCTCTATGAGTACGGGGGGAGGTCTCTGTGGGTCTCTATGAGTACGGGGGGAGGTCTCTGTGGGTCTCTATGAGTACGGGGGTAGGTCTCTGTGGGTCTCTATGAGTACGGGGGGAGGTCTCTGTGGGTCTCTATGTATACAGGGGGATGTCTCTGTGGGTCTCTATGAGTACGGGGGGAGGTCTCTGTGGGTCTCTATGAGTACGGGGGGAGGTCTCTGTGGGTCTCTGAGTACGGGGGTAGGTCTCTGTGGGTCGCTATGAGTACGGGGAGGGAGGGGCGAGGTCTCTGTGGGTCTCTATGAGTACGGGAAGGGAGAGGTCTCTGTGGGTCTCTATGAGTACGGGGGGAGGTCTCTGTGGGTCTCTATGAGTACGGGGGAGGGGGGTCTCTGTGGGTCTCTATGAGTACGGGGGGAGGTCTCTGTGGGTCTCTATGAGTACGGGGGGAGGTCTCTGTGGGTCTCTATGAGTACGGGGGGAGGTCCCTGTGGGTCTCTATGAGTCCGGGGGGAGGTCTCTGTGGGTCTCTATGAGTACAGGGGGAGGTGGGGCGGGTCTCTGTGGGTCTCTATGAGTACAGGGGGAGGTCTCTGTGGGTCTCTGAGTACGGGGGGTAGGTCTCTGTGGGTCGCTATGAGTACGGGGGAGGGAGGGGCGAGGTCTCTGTGGGTCTCTATGAGTACGGGAAGGGAGAGGTCTCTGTGGGTCTCTATGAGTATGGGGGGAGGTCTCTGTGGGTCTCTATGAGTACGGGGGGGAGGTCTCTGTGGGTCTCTATGAGTATGGGGGGAGGTCTCTGTGGGTCTCTATGAGTATGGGGGGAGGTCTCTGTGGGTCTCTATGAGTACGGGGGGAGGTCTCTGTGGGTCTCTATGAGTACGGGAAGGGGTCTCTGTGGGTCTCTATGAGTTCGGGAGGGGGTCTCTATGGGTCTCTATGAGTACGGGGGGAGGTCTCTGTGGGTCTCTATGAGTACGGGGGGAGGTCTCTGTGGGTCTCTATGAGTTCGGGAGGGGGTCTCTATGGGTCTCTATGAGTACAGGGGGAGGTCTCTCTGGGTCTCTATGAGTACGGTGGGAGGTCTCTGTGGGTCTCTATGAGTACGGGGGGAGGTCTCTGTGGGTCTCTATGAGTACGGGGGGAGGTCTCTGTGGGTCTCTATGAGTACGGGGGGGGGGGGGGGGTCTCTGTGGGTCTCTATGAGTACGGGAGGGGGGTCTCTGTGGGTCTCTATGAGTACGGGGGGAGGTCTCTGTGGGTCTCTATGAGTACGGGGAGAGGTCTCTGTGGGTCTCTATGAGTACGGGGGGAGGTCTCTGTGGGTCTCTATGAGTACGGTGGGAGGTCTCTGTGGGTCTCTATGAGTACGGGGGGAGGTCTCTGTGGGTCTCTATGAGTACGGGGAGGAGGTCTCTGTGGGTCTCTATGAGTACGGGGAGGGGTGGGGGAGGTCTCTGTGGGTCTCTATGAGTACGGGGGGGGGGGGGGGTCTCTGTGGGTCTCTATGAGTACAGGAGGAGGTCTCTGTGGGTCTCTATGAGTACAGGGGGAGGTCTCTGTGGGTCTCTATGAGTACGGGGCGGGGGGGGTCTCTGTGGGTCTCTATGAGTACGGGGGGAGGTCTCTGTGGGTCTCTGAGTACGGGGGTAGGTCTCTGTGGGTCGCTATGAGTACGGGGAGGGAGGGGCGAGGTCTCTGTGGGTCTCTATGAGTACGGGAAGGGAGAGGTCTCTGTGGGTCTCTATGAGTACAGGGGAGGTCTCTGTGGGTCTCTATGAGTACGGGGGGAGGAGTCTCTGTTGGTCTCTATGAGTACGGGGGGAGGTCTCTGTGGGTCTCTATGAGTATGGGGGGAGGTCTCTGTGGGTCTCTGAGTACAGGGGGAGGTCTCTGTGGGTCTCTATGAGTACAGGGGGAGGCTTCTCTGGGTCTCTATGAGTACGGGGGGGGGGGGGGGCTGGAGGTGGAGGGGGGATCTCCGTGGCGGCTCTGCGTGGCTCCACGGCTCTCTAGCGTCCCACGCGGCCCTCGGCGACATCGGCGCATCTTCCCCCTCTCCCCCGCCAGAGCTGGAGGCGCTGATGGCGAGCAGCCTTGACTACGACGAGCGTCTCTGGGCCTGGGAGGGCTGGCACCGCCAGGTCGGGCTTCTCATGCGGCCCCTCTACGAGCAATACGTGGAGCTCAAGAACGAAGTGGCCACCCTCAACGGTAGCACGGCACGCGCTTCGCACACACACCGTGGGGGGTGGGTGTTGGGGAGGGTCGTGGGTTCGATCCCGACCCCGTGACCATGCCTGATTGTGATTTGGCGAGGTGTTGACCACCTCGCCCGGTACGCAGGAGGTTCGTGGGTTCGGGTGCCTGCTTGTGTTTGGTGAGGTGTTGACCACCTCGCCCGGTACGCAGGAGGTTCGTGGGTTCGATCCCGACCCCTGACGATGCCTGCTGTGTTTGGTGAGATGTTGACTACCTCGCCAGGTATGCAGGAGGTCGCTGGTCGGGTGCCTGCTGTAGTTGGCGAGATGTTGACTACCTCGCCCGGTACGCAGGAGGTTCGTGGGTTCGATCCCGACCCCTGACGATGCCTGCTGTGTTTGGTGAGATGTTGACTACCTCGCCTGGTACGCAGGAGGTCGTGGGTTCGATCCCGACGATGCCTGTGATTTGGTGAGATGTTATCTACCTCGCCTGGTACGCAGGAGGTCGTGGTTTCGATCCCGACCCCTGACGATGCCTGCGATTTGGTGAGGTGTTGAGCACCTCGCCCGGTACGCAGGAGGTCGTGGGTTCGATCCCGAAGTTGCCTGTGATTTGGTGAGATGTTAACTACCTCGCCTGGTACGCAGGAGGTCGTGGGTTCGATCCCGACCCTGACGATGCCTGCGATTTGGTGAGATGTTGACTACCTCGCCTGGTACGCAGGAGGTCGTGGGTTCGATCCCGACCCTGACGATGCCTGCTGCTGCTGTATATTTGAAGTCTGCGTCTCTCCCCCTCTCTCCTCGTGGTAGTCACGTGGATTTGTCTCCGGGTCCTCCGGTTTGCCCCCTCCGCGATCAGAATCGACGTCGCCACCGCGTTTAGACTATCTGGCTGCTGAATTTCTATTTAAAGCTTTCGTGACTGTAAGGATTCATATTCTTGGTTCTTTCGGTAAAGTTACGTAGAAGCGAAATATTTTACTTCCCTTCTACGTGACTTTACCGAAATAATATTTGGCAACTGCTTTAAATTTCCACGCGATGATGATGGATGATGATGGATGATGATGGATGATGATGATGGATGATGGTGATGGATGATGATGATGATGATGGATGATGATGATGGATGATGATGATGATGGATGATGATGATGGATGATGATGATTGATGATGATGGATGATGATGATTGATGATGATGATTGATGATGGATGATGATGGATGATGATGGATGATGATGATGATGATGGATGATGATGGATGATGATGGATGATGATGATGATTGATGATGATGGATGATTGATGATGATGGATGATTGATGATGATGGATGATTGATGATGATGGATGATAATGATGGGTGATGATTGATGATGATGATTGGTAATGGATGATGATGATGATTGGTAATGGATGATGATGATGGATGATGGATGATGATGATGGATGATGATGGATGATCAGCCACCACGTGTTTGAGCAGCTATCATTCGTGATGGCCACGTGGTCGCTTCTGAAAGAGAGTCTACGACGCGGCAGCTAAGTGTAAAATAACAAAGTTTTTAGACACCCGCACCTCGTCGCACCTCGTCGCTCTGCCCTCATCAAAGACAAAGATCCCCCGTGTAGCCTCCAACAGGCTGTAGGGGCAAGTGCTGTTAGCGAGTAGCAGCAGCACCTATACACAGACAAAGATCCCCCGTGTAGCCTCTAACAGGCTGTAGGGGCAAGTGCTGTTAGCGAGTAGCAGCAGCACCTATTCACAGACAAAGATCCCCCGTGTAGCCTCCAATAGGCTGTAGGGGCAAGTGCTGTTAGCGAGTAGCAGCACCTATACACAGACAAAGATCCCCCGTGTAGCCTCTAACAGGCTGTAGGGGCAAGTGCTGTTAGCGAGTAGCAGCAGCACCTATACACAGACAAAGATCCCCCGTGTAGCCTCTAACAGGCTGTAGGGGCAAGTGCTGTTAGCGAGTAGCAGCAGCACCTATACACAGACAAAGATCCCCCGTGTAGCCTCTAACAGGCTGTAGGGGCAAGTGCTGTTAGCGAGTAGCAGCAGCACCTATACACAGACAAAGATCCCCCGTGTAGCGTCTAACAGGCTGTAGGGGCAAGTGCTGTTAGCGAGTAGCAGCAGCACCTATACACAGACAAAGATCCCCCGTGTAGCCTCTAACAGACTTGGGGCAAGTGCTGTTAGCGAGCAGCGCCTATGAAGGCTACCGGCGCTGTGGCACACGAGGGGGGTGGGTGGCCAGCACCACGCCCGGCCGCCTTTGTCTCTCCCCCAGTGGCGATGTTCACTACCATGCAGCACACCAGGTACTTATTGGAGGTTAAGGCTATATGGGGGATCTTTGTTGCGTGTGTGTGTGTATGTGTGTATGTGCGTGTGTGTGCGTGTCTGTGTGTATGTGTGTGCGTGTGTGTGCGTGTCTGTGTGTGTGTGTATGTGCGTGTGTGTGTGTATGTGCGTGTCTGTGTGTGTGTGTGTCTGTGTGTGTGTCTGTGTGTGTGTGTCTGTGTGTGTCTGTGTGTGTCTGTGTGTGTGTATGTGCGTGTGTGTGCGTGTCTGTGTGTGTGTCTGTGTGTGTGTGTGTCTGTGTGTGTGTGTCTGTGTGTGTGTATGTGTGTGTATGCGTGTCTGTGTGTGTGTCTGTGTGTGCGTGTGTGTGTCTCTGTGTGTATGTGTGTGTGCGTGTGTGCATGTCTGTGTGTGTGTGTATGTCTGTGTGTCTGTGCGTGTGTGTGTATGTGTGTGTGTCTGTGTGTGTGTGTGTGCGTGTCTGTGTGTGTGTATGTGCGTGTGTGTGTGTCTGTGTGTGTGTCTGTGTGTGTATGTGTGTGTGTCTGTGTGTGTGTCTGTGTGTGTGTCTGTGTGTGTGTGCGTGTGTGCGTGTCTGCGTGTGTGTGCGTATGTCTGTGTGTATGTCTGTGTGTGTATGTGTGTGTCTGTGTGTGTGTATGTGTGTGTGTGTGTATGTGTGTGTGTCTGTGTGTGTGTCTGTGTGTGTGTATGTGTGTGTATGTGTGTGTGTGTGTCTCTGTGTGTGTGTCTGTGTGTGTGTGTGTGTCTGTGTGTGTATGTGTGTGTGTGTGTCTGTGTGTGTGTGTGTCTGTGTGTATGTGTGTCTGTGTGTATCTGTGTGTGTGTGTCTGTGTGTGTCTGTGTGTGTGTGTCTGTGTGTGTGTGTCTGTGTGTATGTCTGTGTGTGTGTCTGTGTGTGGGGAGCGGTAGTGTAGCGGTTAGCGCGCTGCGCTATGAACCTGGCGACCCGGGTTCGATTCCCGCTCACGGCCAACACCAGTGACGATTATTTGAACCGGTCCCGGGCCTCCCCTAGGTCGACTCAGCCTCAAATGAGTACCTGGTGCGGTGTGTAAACATTGCCACTAGGGAGACAAAGGCGGTCGGGCGTGGTGCTGGCCACCCACCCCCTCGTGTACCGTTCCGGCCTTCATAGGTGCTCGCTAACAGCACTTGCCCCTACAGTCTGTTAAGGCTATACGGGGGATCTTTGTCTTTATCTTTGTGTGTGTCTGTGTGTGTGTGTGTCTGTGTGTGTCTGTGTGTGTGTGTGTGCGTGCGGCAGGCTACATGGACTACGGGGACTATTGGAGGGGCAACTACGAGGTGAAGGAGGAGTTCGCTGGGGGCCCTGGCTACGCTTACTCACGCCGACAGCTCATGGAGGAGGTGCAGACCCTCTACAACACCGTGAGTGTGCACACAGACGCGGCAGCCGCAGTCGTCGTCATCGTCGTCATCGTCGTCACCGCCATCGTCGTCATCGTCGCCATCATCGTCATCGTCGTCATCGTCACCGCCATCATCGTCATCATCGTCACCGCCATCGTCGCCGCAGTCGTCATCATCGTCATCATCGTCACCGCCATCGTCGCCAACGTCGTCACCGTCATCATCACCGCCACCATTGTCACCGTCTTCGCCACCGCCCTCATCGTCACCGCCATCATCATCACCATCGACACCGCCACCGTCGTCGCCGCCATCTTCATCATCATCATCGTCACCGCCCTCATCGTCACCGTCTTCGTCATCGCCGCCATCTTCATCATCGTCGTCACCGCCACCGTCGCCGCCACCGCCATCTTCACCACCGCCATCGTCGCCATCACTACCACAGCACTTGCCCCCATCAACAAGCCCGAGGCAGCACGGGTGGGTGGGGATCTTTGTCCACGTGCACGTGCGTGTACGTGTACGTGCGTGTGTGTTTGTGTGTGTGTCCGAGTGTGTGTGTCCGTGTGTGTCCGAGTGTGTGTGTCCGAGTGTGTGTTTGTGTCCGAGAGTGTTTGTGTCCGAGTGTGTGTGTGTCCGTGTGTGTTTGTGTCCGAGTGTGTGTGTGTCCGAGTGTATGTCAGTGCCCTATGTATTTGTGTCCGAGTGTGTGTGAGCACCTGCCTGGGTATTTTGTACCATTGGACACTCCACCCCCACAACTCCCAATCGGTGATGGGGCAGTTGTGGAGAGAGTGGAGAGTTTCCCATACCTGGGCAGTGTGCTTATGACCGGCTCCAGTTTAACAGCAGAGGTCTCACTCCGATTCAGTTGAGCGGCAATATCTTTTCATCGGTTGCGTAACGCTGTGTGAAAGCTACCTGGTCTGTCGCTCTGGACTAAGCTTCAGGTCTTCTCGGCCACGGTCATTCCCTCCCTTCTCTACGCTCGCGAAACGTGGACCCCCCTAATGGAACATCTTCGCCGGTTAGAAACATTTAGGCTGGCCTGCCTACGATCCATCCTGGAATTAACCAGACTGGATTGTGTGAGGAGCTCACAAATCCTTGAAAGATCTGGGCAAGGTCCCATCGGTGAGCTCCTCCGGCGGGCAAGGCTGCGTTGGCTGGGTCATTTAGCCCGCATGCCCAGCCACCGCATGCCGAAACAGCTTTTGTTTCGGCCGGATCGAGGGGGCTAAACGGGCGCGGCACGGGCTAGAGAAGAGATGGAGTGATGTAGTACAGGAGGACGTGGAGCTGAGTGGACTTGCCGATGACTGGTACCAGCGGTGTCAAGATCGGCCTCTGTGGAGGAGGCTCGTGAAGGACGCTACTCACAACAACGAGCGGAGCGCCGGGTGGCTAAAGCACAGCAGGTTGCCACAGTAGGGGGCACAGGTGGTGCATCAGCCAGTCATCTCAGTCAGTCGACCCGTGGCACCTGCTGGGTCTGCCCCGTGACCTCCTGCCAGTGGGCGTTTGACACTTCACGTGACCTCAAGGTGCACATGGCCTGGCACAAGCGTCGTGGTGACGTCACCGCCACTTAGTGGCGAATGTCGGTTGTTGTTGTTGTGTGCGTGTGTCCGAGTGTGTGTGTCCGTGTGTGTTTGTGTCCGAGTGTGTATGTGTGTGTCAGAGTGTGTGTGTGTCCGTGTGTGTTAGTGTCCGAGTGTGTGTTTGTCAGAGTGTTTGTGTCCGTGTGTGTCTGTGTGTGTGTCAGAGTGTGTGTTTGTCAGTGTGTGTGTCCGTATGTGTGTGTGTGTCCGTGTGTGTTAGTGTCCGAGTGTGTGTTTGTCAGAGTGTTTGTGTCCGTGTGTGTGTGTGTGTCTGTGTGTGTCTGTGTGTCTGTGTGTGTGTCTGTGTGTGTCTGTGTGTGTGTGTGGGGATCAGTGGTTGTAGCGCGGTTAGCGCTACGCCGCGCTACGAACCTGGCGACCCGAGTTCGATTCCCGCTCACGGCCAACACCACCGGTGACGAGTCTCTGAACCGGTCCTGGGCCTCCCCTAGGTCGACTCACCCTCAAATTAGTACCTGCTGCGGTGTGCAGTTAAACATCAGCCACTGGGGAGACAAAGGCGGCCGGGCGTGGTTGCTGGCCACCCACCCCCTCGTGTGCCACAGCGCCCAGTACCCTTCATAGGTGCTGCTCGCTAACAGCACTTGCCCCTACAGTCTGTTGAGGCTACACGGGGGAGCTTTGTCTGTGTATAGGTGCTGCTGCTATTCGCTAACAGCACTTGCCCCTACAGTCTGTTGAGGCTACACGGGGGACCTTTGTCTGTGTATAGGTGCTGCTACTCGCTAACAGCACTTGCCCCTACAGTCTGTTGAGGCTACACGGGGGACCTTTGTCTGCGTATAGGTGCTGCTGCTATTCGCTAACAGCACTTGCCCCTACAGTCTGTTGAGGCTACACGGGGGACCTTTGTCTGTGTATAGGTGCTGCTGCTATTCGCTAACAGAACTTGCCCCTACAGTCTGTTGAGGCTACACGGGGGACCTTTGACTGTGTATAGGTGCTGCTGCTACTCGCTAACAGCACTTGCCCCTACAGTCTGTTGAGGCTACACGGGGGACCTTTGTCTGTGTATAGGTGCTGCTGCTATTCGCTAACAGCACTTGCCCCTACGGTCTGTTAGAGGCTACACGGGGGACCTTTGTCTGTGTATAGGTGCTGCTGCTATTCGCTAACAGCACTTGCCCCTACAGTCTGTTGAGGCTACACGGGGGACCTTTGTCTGTGTATAGGTGCTGCTGCTACTCGCTAACAGCACTTGCCCCTACAGTCTGTTGAGGCTACACGGGGACCTTTGTCTGTACATAGGTGCTGCTGCTATTCGCTAACAGCACTTGCCCCTACAGTCTATTGAGGCTACACGGGGGACCTTTGTCTGTGTATAGGTGCTGCTGCTATTCGCTAACAGCACTTGCCCCTACAGTCTGTTGAGGCTACACGGGGGACCTTTGTCTGTGTATAGGTGCTGCTGCTGCTCGCTAACAGCACTTGCCCCTACAGTCTGTTGAGTCTACACGGGGGACCTTTGTCTGTGTATAGGTGCTGCTGCTACTCGCTAACAGCACTTGCCCTTACAGTCTGTTGAGGCTACACGGGGGACCTTTGTCTGTGTATAGGTGCTGCTGCTACTCGCTAACGGCACTTGCCCCTACAGTCTGTTAGAGGCTACACGGGGCACCTTTGTCTGTGTATAGGTGCTGCTACTCGCTAACAGCACTTGCCCCTACAGTCTGTTGAGGCTACACGGGGGACCTTTGTCTGTGTATAGGTGCTGCTGCTACTCGCTAACAGCACTTGCCCCTACAGTCTGTTGAGGCTACACGGGGGATCTTTGTCTGTGTATAGGTGCTGCTGCTACTCGCTAACAGCACTTGCCCCTACAGTCTGTTGAGGCTACACGGGGGACCTTTGTCTGTGTATAGGTGCTGCTGCTACTCGCTAACAGCACTTGCCCCTACAGTCTGTTGAGGCTACACTGGGGACCTTTGTCTGTGTATAGGTGCTGCTGCTACTCGCTAACAGCACTTGCCCCTACAGTCTGTTGAGGCTACACGGGGGACCTTTGTCTGTGTATAGGTGCTGCTGCTATTCGCTAACAGCACTTGCCCCTACGGTCTGTCAGAGGCTACACGGGGGACCTTTGTCTGTGTATAGGTGCTGCTGCTATTCGCTAACAGCACTTGCCCCTACATTATGTTGAGGCTACACTGGGGACCTTTGTCTGTGTATAGGTGCTGCTGCTACTCGCTAACAGCACTTGCCCCTACAGTCTGTCGAGGCTACACGGGGGACCTTTGTCTGTGTATAGGTGCTGTTGCTACTCGCTAACAGCACTTGCCCCTACAGTCTGTTGAGGCTACACGGGAGACCTTTGTCCGTGTATAGGTGCTGCTGCTATTCGCTAACAGCACTTGCCCCTACAGTCTGTTGAGGCTACACGGGAGACCTTTGTATGTGTATAGGTGCTGCTGCTACTCGCTAACAGCACTTGCCCCTACAGTCCGTTGAGACTACACGGGGGACCTTTGTCTGTGTATAGGTGCTGCTGCTACTCGCTAACAGCACTTGCCCCTACAGTCTGTTGAGGCTACACGGGGGACCTTTGTCTGTGTATAGGTGCTGCTGCTACTCGCTAACAGCACTTGTCCCTACAGTCTGTTGAGGCTACACGGGGGACCTTTGTCTGTGTATAGGTGCTGCTGCTACTCGCTAACAGCACTTGCCCCTACAGTCTGTTGAGGCTACACGGGGGACCTTTGTATGTGTATAGGTGCTGCTGCTATTCGCTAACGGCACTTGCCCCTACAGTCTGTTGAGGCTACACGGGGGACCTTTGTCTGTGTATAGGTGCTGCTGCTACTCGCTAACAGCACTTGCCCCTACAGTCTGTTGAGGCTACACGGGGGACCTTTGTCTGTGTATAGGTGCTGCTGCTACTCGCTAACAGCACTTGCCCCTACAGTCTGTTGAGGCTACACGGGGGATCTTTGTCTGTGTATAGTTGCTGCTGCTACTCGCTAACAGCACTTGCCCCTACAGTCCGTTGAGGCTACACGGGGGACCTTTGTCTGTGTATAGGTGCTGCTGCTACTCGCTAACAGCACTTGCCCCTACAGTTTGTTGAGGCTACACGGGGGACCTTTGTCTTGTGTGTGTGCAGGTGGAGCCTCTGTACAAGGAGCTGCACGCTTACGTGAGACGCAAGCTGAGGAATCAGTACGGGAGCAAGGTCAGCCTCACGGGAGGGCTGCCTGCACACCTCCTGGGTAAGAGCGGCGGTGATGAGTCTGTGGGTCTCTGTGTGGTGAGTCTGTGGGTCTCTGTGTGATGAGTCTATGGGTCTCTGTGTGATGAGTCTATGGGTCTCTGTGTGATGAGTCTGTGGGTCTCTGTGTGATGAGTATCTGGGTCTCTGTGGGTCTCTGTGTGGCGAGTCTGTGGGTCTGTGTGATGAGTCTGTGGGTCTCTGTGTGGTGAGTCTGTGGGTGTCTGTGGGTCTCTGTGTGGTGAGTCTGTGGGTCTCTGTGGGTCTCTGTGTGGTGAGTCTCTGGGTCTCTGTGTGGTGAGTCTGTGGGTCTCTGTGGGTCTCTGTGTGATGAGTCTGTGGGTCTCTGTGTGGTGAGTCTGTGGCTCTCTGTGGGTCTCTGTGTGGTGAGTCTGTGGGTCTCTGTGGGTTTCTGTGTGGTGAGTCGGTGGGTCTCTGTGGGTCTCTGTGTGGTGAGTCTGTGGGTCTCTGTGGGTCTCTGTGTGGTGAGTCTGTGGGTCTCTGTGTGGTGAGTCTGTGGGTCTCTGTGGGTCTCTGTGTGATGAGTCTATGGGTCTCTGTGTGGTGAGTCTGTGGGTCTCTGTGGGTCTCTGTGTGATGAGTCTATGGGTCTCTGTGTGGTGAGTCTGTGGGTCTCTGTGGGTCTCTGTGTGATGAGTCTGTGGGTCTCTGTGGGTCTCTGTGTGATGAGTCTATGGGTCTCTGTGTGGTGAGTCTGTGGGTCTCTGTGTGACGAGTCTATGGGTCTCTGTGTGTGAGTCTATGGGTCTTCGTGTGATGATTCTATGGGTCTCTGTGTAATGAGTATATGGGTCTCTGTGTGGTGAGTCTGTGGGTCTCTGTGGGTCTCTGTGTGATGAGTCTATGGGTCTCTGTGTGGTGAGTCTGTGGGTCTCTGTGTGATGAGTCTCTGGGTCTCTGTGTGATCAGTCTGTGGGTCTCTGTGGGTCTCTGTGTGGTGAGTCTGTGGGTCTCTGTGGGTCTCTGTGTGGTGAGTCTGTGGGTCTCTGTGTGGTGAGTCGGTGGGTCTCTGTGGGTCTCTGTGTGGTGAGTCTGTGGGTCTCTGTGGGTCTCTGTGTGATGAGTCTGTGGGTCTCTGTGTGACGAGTCTATGGGTCTCTGTATGTGAGTCTATGGGTCTTCGTGTGATGATTCTATGGGTCTCTGTGTAATGAGTATATGGGTCTCTGTGTGGTGAGTCTGTGGGTCTCTGTGTGATGAGTCTATGGGTCTCTGTGTGGTGAGTCTGTGGGTCTCTGTGTGATGAGTCTCTGGGTCTCTGTGTGATGAGTCTGTGGGTCTCTGTGTGGTGAGTCTGTGGGTCTCTGTGTGATGAGTCTCTGGGTCTCTGTGTGATGAGTCTATGGGTCTCTGTGTGGTGAGTCTGTGGGGTCTCTGTGTGACGAGTCTATGGGTCTCTGTGTGATGGGTCTGTGGGTCTCTGTGTGGTGAGTCTGTGGGTCTCTGTGTGTGAGTCTATGGATCTCTGTGTGTGAGTCTATGGGTCTCTGTGGGTTTCTGTGTGGCGAGTCTGTGGCTCTCTGTGTGTGAGTCTATGGGTCTTCGTGTGATGATTCTATGGGTCTCTGTGTAATGAGTATATGGGTCTCTGTGTGGTGAGTCTGTGGGTCTCTGTGGGTCTCTGTGTGATGAGTCTGTGGGTCTCTGTGGGTCTGTGTGGTGAGTCTGTGGCTCTCTGTGGGTCTCTGTGTGGTGAGTCGGTGGGTCTCTGTGTGATGAGTCTATGGGTCTCTGTGTGGTGAGTCTGTGGGTCTCTGTGGGTCTCTGTGTGGTGAGTCGGTGGGTCTCTGTGGGTCTCTGTGTGGTGAGTCTGTGGGTCTCTGTGGGTCTCTGTGTGATGAGTCTATGGGTCTATGTGTGGTGAGTCTGTGGCTCTCTGTGGGTCTCTGTGTGGTGAGTCGGTGGGTCTCTGTGTGATGAGTCTATGGGTCTCTGTGTGGTGAGTCTGTGGGTCTCTGTGGTCTCTGTGTGGTGAGTCGGTGGGTCTCTGTGTGATGAGTCTATGGGTCTCTGTGTGATGAGTCTGTGGGTCTCTGTGGGTCTCTGTGTGGTGAGTCGGTGGGTCTCTGTGTGATGAGTCTATGGGTCTCTGTGTGATGAGTCTGTGGGTCTCTGTGGGTCTCTGTGTGGTGAGTCTGTGGGTCTCTGTGTGGTGAGTCTGTGGGTCTCTGTGTGACGAGTCTATGGGTCTTCGTGTGATGATTCTATGGGTCTCTGTGTAATGAGTATATGGGTCTCTGTGTGGTGAGTCTGTGGGTCTCTGTGGGTCTCTGTGTGATGAGTCTATGGGTCTCTGTGTGGTGAGTCTGTGGGTCTCTGTGTGATGAGTCTCTGGGTCTCTGTGTGATGAGTCTGTGGGTCTCTGTGGGTCTCTGTGTGGTGAGTCTGTGGCTCTCTGTGGGTCTCTGTGTGGTGAGTCGGTGGGTCTCTGTGGGTCTCTGTGTGGTGAGTCTGTGGGTCTCTGTGGGTCTCTGTGTGGTGAGTCTGTGGGTCTCTGTGTGGTGAGTCGGTGGGTCTCTGTGGGTCTCTGTGTGGTGAGTCTGTGGGTCTCTGTGTGATGAGTCTGTGGGTCTCTGTGGGTTTCTGTGTGATGAGTCTGTGGGTCTCTGTGGGTCTCTGTGTGATGAGTCTATGGGTCTCTGTGTGGTGAGTCTGTGGGTCTCTGTGTGATGAGTCTCTGGGTCTCTGTGTGATGAGTCTGTGGGTCTCTGTGGGTCTCTGTGTGGTGAGTCTGTGGGTCTCTGTGGGTCTCTGTGTGATGAGTCTATGGGTCTGTGTGTGGTGAGTCTGTGGGTCTCTGTGGGTCTCTGTGTGATTAGTCTCTTGGTCTCTGTGTGATGAGTCTGTGGGTCTCTGTGTGGTGAGTCTGTGGCTCTCTGTGGGTCTCTGTGTGGTGAGTCGGTGGGTCTCTGTGGGTCTCTGTGTGGTGAGTCTGTGGGTCTCTGTGGGTCTCTGTGTGGTGAGTCTGTGGGTCTCTGTGTGGTGAGTCTGTGGGTCTCTGTGGGTCTCTGTGTGGTGAGTCTGTGGGTCTCTGTGTGGTGAGTCTGTGGGTCTCTGTGGGTCTCTGTGTGGTGAGTCTGTGGGTCTCTGTGGGTCTCTATGTGGTGAGTCTGTGGGTCTCTGTGTGACGAGTCTATGGGTCTCTGTGGGTCTCTGTGTGATGAGTCTGTGGGTCTCTGTGGGTCTCTATGTGATGAGTCTGTCGGTCTCTGTGTGGTGAGTCTGTGGGTCTCTGTGGGTCTCTGTGTGGTGAGTCTATGGGTCTCTGTGGGTTTCTGTGTGATGAGTCTGTGGGTCTCTGTGGGTCTCTGTGTGATGAGTCTGTGGGTCTCTGTGGGTCTCTGTGTGGTGAGTCTGTGGGTCTCTGTGTTACGAGTCTATGGGTCTCTATGTGATGAGTCTATGGGTCTTTGTGTGGTGAGTCTGTGGGTCTCATTGTGATGAGTCTGTGGGTCTTTGTGTGGTGAGTCTGTGGGTCTCTGTGTGACGAGTCTATGGGTCTCTGTGTGTGAGTCTATGGGTCTCCGTGTGATGATTCTATGGGTCTCTGTGTAATGAGTATATGGGTCTCTGTGTGATGAGTCTGTGGGTCTCTGTGGGTCTCTGTGTGTGAAATATAATGATAGGGTTTTTTCCCCTTTTTTCTGGCAACAACACTGACACCTTTTTACATGGATTCATGTTACTGCATTAACCACAATACCTGCAGTCAAAATGCAAACAAAAAACATACTATTTATAATATATGATAATATATGCATTGTCCTTGAAGCTGATTGGTCCACACCAAGGGACGGCTTTCTTTTGAGCCTGGACCCAAAGCGTCATCTGGTCGAACACCAATTGGGTCGAGGCTCAAAAGAAAGCCGTCCCTTGGTGCGGACCAATCAGTTTCAAGGACAATGCATCATCATATTACCACAGTGTGTTTTTTGTTTGCATTTTGACCGCAGCTATTGTGGTTAATGCGGTAACACGAATCCTCGTAAAAAGATTTCAGTTTTGTTGCCGGAAAAAAGGGGAAAAACCCCTATTATTATATTTTGGTACTGGCAAAGGAGGTCTAATGATGTCTCTGTGTGTGAGTCTATGATGAGTCTATGATGAGTCTATGGGTCTCTGTGTGATGAGTCTGTGGGTCTCTGTGTGATGAGTCTATGGGTCTCTGTGTGATGAGTCTGTGGGTCTCTGTGTGATGAGTCTGTGGGTCTCTGTGTGATGAGTCTATGGGTCTCTGTGTGATGAGTCTATGGGTCTCTGTGTGATGAGTCTATGGGTCTCTGTGTGATGAGTCTGTGGGTCTCTGTGTGTGAGTCCATGGGTCTCTGTGTGATGATTCTATGGCTCTCTGTGTGATGATTCTATGGGTCTCTGTGTGATGAGTCTGTGGGTCTCTGTGTGATGAGTCTGTGGGTCTCTGTGTGATGAGTCTTTGGGTCTCTGTGCAATGAGTGGCAAAGCAAAATGTAGTTTTAGTTTTAGTACGTGATGGCGTGTGATGGTGTGTGATGGCGTGTGATGGTGTGTGTGATGGCGTGTGATGGTGTGTGTGATGGCGTGTGATGGTGTGTGATGGTGCGTGTGATGGTGTTGTGTGTGATGGTGTGTGATGGTGTGTGTGTGTGATGGTGTGTGGGATGGTGTGTGATGGTGTGTGATGGTAGTGATGGTGTGTGTGATGGTGTGTGATGGTGTGTGATGGTGTGTGATGGTGTGTGATGGTGCGTGTGATGGTGCGTGTGATGGTGTGATGGGGTGTGTGATGGTGTGTGATGGTGTGTGATGGTGTGTGTGATGGTGCGTGTGATGGTGCGTGTGATGGTGTGTGTGATGTGTGTGATGGTATGTGATGGTGTGTGTGATGGTGTGTGTGATGGTGTGTGATGGTGTGTGTGATGGTGCGTGTGATGGTGCGTGTGATGGTGTGTGTGATGATGTGTGTGATGGTGTGTGTGATGGTGTGTGATGGTGTGTGATGGTGTGTGATGGTGTGTGTGATGGTGTGTGTGATGGTGTGTGTGATGGTGTGTGTGATGGTGTGTGATGGTGTGTGTGATGGTGTGTGTGATGGTGTGTGATGGTGTGTGATGGTGTGTGATGGTGCGTGTGATGGTGTGTGATGGTGTTTGATGGTGTGTCTAATGGTGTGTGATGGTGTGTGATGGTGTGTGATGGTGTGTGTGATGGTGTGTGATGGTGTGTGATGGTGTGTGATGGTGTGTGTGATGGTGTGTGATGGTGTGTGATGGTGTGTGATGGTGTGTGTGATGGTGCGTGTGATGGTGTGTGTGATGGTGTGTGTGATGGTGTGTGATGGTGTGTGTGATGGTGTGTGATGGTGCGTGTGATGGTGTGTGTGATGGTGTGTATGATGGTGTGTGTGATGGTGTGTGATGGTGTGTGATGGTGTGTGTGATGGTGTGTGTGATGGTGTGTGATGGTGTGTGTGATGGTGTGTGATGGTGCGTGTGATGGTGTGTGTGATGGTGTGTATGATGGTGTGTGTGATGGGGTGTGATGGTGTATGATGGTGTGTGATGGTGTGTGTGATGGTGCGTGTAGGTGACATGTGGGGACGCTTTTGGACCAACCTCAACTCCCTCGCCACTCCGTTCCCCGACAAGCCGAGCGTCGACGTCACGCCTCAGATGGTCGCCAAAGTGAGGGGTCGCGTACCACCTGCCACTCGCTCTCTAGTGCACGTGGACTCCACACACTCCTCTCGCCGTCACGACGTCACTACGCCGTGACGACGTCACTACACCGTGATGACGTCACTACGCCGTGACGACGTCACTACACCGTGACGACGACGCTACACCGTGACGACGTCACTACACCGTGACGACGCCGTGACGACGTCACTACACCGTGACGACGTCACTACGCCGTGACGACGCCGTGACGACGTCACTACACCGTGACGACGCTACAGCGTGACGACGCCGTCACGACGCTGTGACGACGTCGCTACACCGTGACGACGTCACTGCACCATGACGACGCCGTGACGACGTCACTACGCCGTGACGACGTCACTACACCATGACGACGTCACTACACCGTGACGACGTCACTGCACCATGACGACGCCGTGACGACGTCACTACACCATGACGACGTCACTACACCGTGACGACGTCACTGCACCATGACGACGCCGTGACGACGCCGCTACACCGTGACGACGTCACTACACCGTGACGACGTCACTACACCATGACGACACCGTGACGACGTCACTACGCCGTGACGACGCCGTGAACGCCCCCCCTCCCTCCCCCTCCCTGTTTTAATCCTCGGCCCAGGGCTGGCAGGTGAAGACGATGTTCGAGTCTGCGGACCACTTCTTCCAGTCGATCGGCCTCCAGCCGATGGGCGCCAGCTTCTGGAACCACTCGATGCTGGTGCGGCCAGAGGACGGCCGGGAGGTGGTGTGCCACCCCACCGCGTGGGACATGGGCAACGGCCGGGACTTCAGGTGCCCGCCACCACCCTCGGGGCCGGCCCGGTGGCTGGGGAGACGTTGACCACCTCGCCCGGTGTACGGGAGGTCGTGGGTTCCGTTCCCCGACCCCCTGGCGACGCCTGTGATTTGTCGGGATGTTAACTCCCTCGCCCGGTGCGCGGGAGGTCGTGGGTTCAATCCCCGACCCCCTAGCGACGCCTGTGATTTGTCGAGATGTTGACAACCTCGCCCGGTGCGCGGGAGGTCGTGGGTTCAATCCCAACCCATAATGACGCCCGTATTTGGCGAGATGTTAACTCCCTCGCCCGGTGTGCGGGAGGTCGTGGGTTCCATCCCCGACCCATAATGATGCCTGTGATTTGGCGAGATGTTAACTACCTCGCCCGGTGCACGGGAGGTCGTGGGTTCAATCCCAACCCATAATGACGCCCGTATGTGTCGAGATGTTAACTCCCTCGCCCGGTGTGCGGGAGGTCGTGGGTTCCATCCCCGACCCCCTGGCGACGCCTGTGACTTGTCGAGATGTTGACTCCCTCACCTGGTGTGCGGGAGGTAGTATTTGGCTGCTGCTTTTTTATTTCCACACGATAAGCCGCCTTCGTCGCGCTCCCGTTTGCGGATGGCCAGAGTCGCTCCTGAAAAATAACCGTGCGGCTTCGTGGCGCCTTACCTGGTTAAAAAGTAAAAAAAAGCTTTCGTGACTGCAAGGATTCATCTTCTTTGGTTCTTTCGGTAAAGTCACCACCACGTAGAATGAGAATAAAATAACGAAATGAAATAACACAATTAAAATTCTCACGACGTTTCGGCCACGACACAAGTGGCCTTCATCAGGTGAAGGGACGAGACCGTCTCGATGAAGGACACTTGCGTCGTGGCCCGAAACGTCGTGAGAATTTTATTGTGTTATTTTATTTTATTATTTTATTCTCGTAATCGGTTTTACCCCTTTTAACTGGCACAAAAAACTGACACCTTTATTCAAGGCATCATGTCTGCAATAACCACAACACAAGCCAGTCAGAATGCAAACAAAAAAGAAGACAACTCTGATAATAATATTGGCACTGTCCTTGAATTTGATTGGTCCACACCCGAGACAGCTTTTCTTAGAGCCCTTAAGTCTCCACCGGTGTTGGACCAGAAGACGCCAAAAGGCGTACAACTCAAAACCAGCGCACTATCAGAGTATTGAGGGCTCGGGGTGAGCATTTACATTATGAGACCTCCTTTTACCAGGAACAAGATTTAGTAATAGGTTTTTACCCCCTTTTAACTGGCACAAAAAACTGACACCTTTATTCAAGGCATCATGTCTGCAATAACCACAACACAAGCAGTCAAAATGCAAACAAAAAAGACAACTCTGATAATAATATTGGCACTGTTCCTTGAATTTGATTGGTCCACACCCGAGACGGCTTTCTTTAGAGCCCTTAGTCTCCACTGGTGTTGGACCAGAAGACGCCAAAAGGCGTACAAATCAAAACCAGCGCACTATCAGAGTATTGAGGGCTCGGGGTGAGGGCTCGGGGTGAGCATTTACATTGCCAGGAACAAGCTATAGTAATAGGTTTTTACCCCCTTTTAACTGGCACAAAAAAAACTGACACCTTTATTCAAGGCATCATGTCAACCACAAGCAGTCGAAATGCAAACAAAAAGAGACAACTCCGATGATAAAAAATTTTTTATTCTTTAATTCTCATTCCACGTGACTTTACCGAAAGAACCAAAAAAGAAAGAAAAACCCCCGACAAAAAATTTTTTTTTTTCGCGCGACTCGCTTTGCCTTGAACCCATCGCGACATCGTCACCCACCCACCCACCCACCCACCCCGCTCCTCCTCCTCCTCCTCCTCCTCCGTCGCGCAGGATCAAGATGTGCGGCAAGGTGAACATGGACGACTTCCTGACGGCGCACCACGAGATGGGCCACCTGCAGTACGACATGGAGTACGCGCCGCTGCCCTGGCTTCTACGGGACGGTGCCAACGAGGGCTTCCACGAGGCCGTGGGGGAGATCATGAGCCTCTCGGCAGCCACGCCCGCGCACCTGGGCAAGCTGGGGCTCCTACCGCCGGGGTTCACGGACGACGAAGGTGAGGGTGGACCTGGGGGGGACGCGGTGGTGGACGGGGGGGAGTGACACGCGGTGAGACAGACGGGGATGCGGGTGGAGTGTCGAACCGCCCGCTGGCACGAGGTGGTCACGGGGGCAGACCCAGCAGGTGCCCACGGGTCGACTGACCGAGATGACCGGCCGATGCACCACCACCTGTGCCCCCTTACTGTGCCAACCCGCTGCGCTTTAGCCACCCGGCGCTCCGCTCGTTGTCGTGAGCGTCGCTCCCCCGCCCTCCGTTGTTGTTGTTGTTGTTGGAGGGGCGACTGCCTCCAACTGCCCGGTAGCGGCGTCCTTCACGAGCCTCCTCCTCCACAGAGGCCGATCTTGACACCGCCGGTACCGGTCATCGGCAAGTCCACTCAGCCTCCACGTCCTCCTGTACCACATCACTCCCATCTCTTCTCTAGCCCGTGCCACGCCCGCTTAGCCCCCTCAATCCGGCCGAACAAAAGCTGTTTCGGCATGCGGTGGCTGGGCATGCGGGCTACATGACCCAGCCATCGCAGCCTTGCCTGCCGGAGGAGCTCACCGATGGGACTTTGTCCAGAGACACACGCCGTGAGACACACACCGTGAGACACACACAGTGAGACACACACAGTGAGACACACACAGTGAGACACACAGTGAGACACACAGTGAGACACAGTGAGACACACACAGTGAGACACACACAGTGAGACACACACAGTGAGACACAGTGAGACACACACAGTGAGACACACACAGTGAGACACACACAGTGAGACACACACACAGTGAGACACACACAGTGAGACACACACAGTGAGACACACACAGTGAGACACAGTGAGACACACACAGTGAGACACACACAGTGAGACACACACAGTGAGACACAGAGACACACACAGTGAGACACACACAGTGAGACACACACAGTGAGACACAGTGAGACACACACAGTGAGACACACACAGTGAGACACACACAGTGAGACACAGTGAGACACACACAGTGAGACACACACAGTGAGACACACACAGTGAGACACAGTGAGACACACACAGTGAGACACACACAGTGAGACACACACAGTGAGACACACGCCGTGAGACACACGCCGTGAGACACACACAGTGAGACACACACAGTGAGACACACGCCGTGAGACACACGGGTGGAGGGAGGGACGACGCTTCGTCTTCGGTGGGGGGGGGGGCTTAGCGGCCCCCCTCACTCGTCTCTCTTCGCCCCTCCGTCAGAAACCGACATGAACTTCCTGCTCAAGCAGGCGCTCACCATCGTGGCCACGCTGCCCTTCACGCTGTCGCTGGAGCAGTGGCGCTGGAAGGTCTTCTCCGGGGACATCCCTCGGAACGAGTGGATGAAGACCTGGTGGCAGATGAAGTGAGCCAGCCAGCCCTCCCTCTCTCCCTGTCCCCCTCCCTCCCTCCCTCCCCTCCCCTCCCTCCCTCCCTCCCTCCCTCCCTCCCTCCCTCTCCTCCCCTCCCCTCCCCCCCTCCCCTCCTTCCCCCCCTCCCTCTCTCTCTCCCTCCCTCCCTCCCCTCCCCTCCCGCCCTCCCTCCCTCCCCTCCCGCCCTCCCTCTCTCTCTCCCTGTCCACCTCCCTCCCTCCCTCCCTCCCGCCCTCTCTCCCTCCCTCCCTCCCCTCCCGCCCTCCCTCTCTCCCTCCCCTCCCTCCCTCCCTCCCTCCCCTCCCCTCCTCCCTCCCTCCCTCCCTCTCTCGCTCCTTCCCCTCCCCTCAGTCCCCTCCCTCCCTCCCCTCACCTCCATCACGTGTGTGTGTCTGTGTGTGTCTGTGTGTGTGTCTGTGTTTGTGTGTATCTATGTCTGTGTGTGTATCTATGTCTGTGTTGTGTCTCTGTGTGTGTCTGTGTGTGTGTCTCTGTGTGTCTCTGTGTGTGTCTCTATGTCTGTGTGTATCTATGTCTGTGTTGTGTCTCTGTGTGTGTGTCTGTGTGTGTGTCTCTGTGTGTCTGTGTGTGTGTCTCTATGTCTGTGTGTGTATCTATGTCTGTGTGTATGTCTCTGTGTGTCTGTGTGTATGTCTCTGTGTGTCTGTGTGTATGTCTCTGTGTGTGTGTCTCTGTGTGTCTGTGTGTATGTGTGTCTCTGTGCGTCTCTGTGTGTGTGTGTGTGTCTCCATGTAGACGGGAGATGGTGGGAGTTGTGGAGCCCATCCTGCACAATGAGGACTACTGTGATCCAGCCGCTCTCTTTCACGTTGCCAATGACTACTCCTTCATACGGTGTGACCCCTTTCTCTCTCTGCCACCTAAACTTAAACTATCAACGCTTTTGTTTTACATTTCCACCAGGTGTAAGGTACCCAATTGAGCTGCTACGCAGTAGCTAAGCGATCGCGACCGTCGCAAAGTGGTGACTTATCGCCGCCACGTGGACGTTTATAGCAGCCCTAAGAGTCTAAGCGCGTAGAGACGTTCGCGCTAAATGTGGAGATAAAAAATAAAAAAAATTTAAAAGGCCACGGAGAGAGAGAGGCACGCAAACTCCAAATAAACAGCAGCAGGCATCAGAGGCCGGATCAAACTTACGATTCTCCTATTATGAGACCTCCTTTGCCAGTAACAAGATATAGTACCAGGTTTAACCCTTTTAACTGGCTCAAAAAACTGACACCTTTATTCAAGGCATCATGTCTGCAATAACCACAACACAAGCAGTAAAAATGCAAACAAAAAGACAACCTTTAGGCGTCTTCTGGTCCAACACCAGTGGAGACTAGGCTCTAAAGAAAGCCGTCTCGGATGTGGACCAATCACATTTACGATTCTCCTGTATACCAGGCGAGGTAGTCAACATCTCCTAGGCACCGTGATGATGATGATGATGACAGAGAGACACGCAAACTCCAAATACACAACAGCAGGCGTCAGGGGCCAGATCAAACTTACGATTCTCCTGTATACCAGGCGAGGTAGTCAACATCTCCTAGGCACCGTGATGATGATGAGAGAGAGAGACACGCAGACTCCAAATATACAGCAGCAGGCGTCGTCAGGGTCGGGAATCGAACTCGCGACCTCCTGTATACCAGGTGAAGTAGTTAACATCTCCTAGCCACCGTGATGATGAGAGAGAGAGAGAGACACGCAGGGTCGGGAATCGAACTCGCGACCTCCTGCATTTCAGGGGAGGTAGTTAACATTTCCTAGCCACCGTGATGATGAAGAGAGAGAGAGAGAGAGACACGCAGGGTCGGGATTGAACCCGCGACCTCCCGCGTACCCGGCGAGGTAGTCAACATCGTCCCCCTCTCTTCGCAGGTACTACACGAGGACCATTCTGCAGTTCCAGTTCCAGGTGGCTCTGTGCGCAGCGGCTGGTCACAAGGGTCCCGTCTACAAATGCGACATCAACGGCTCTAAAGAGGCCGGCGAGAAGCTCATGTGAGAGAGATACGGCGATGACAAGAGTGTGTGGGTGTGTGTGTGTGTCAGTGTGTGTGTGTGTCAGTGTGTGTGTGTTTGTCTGTGTGTGTCTGTGTGTGTCAGTGTGTGTGTGTGTGTCAGTGTGTGTGTGTGTTTGTGTCTGTGTGTGTGTGTCTGTGTTTGTGTGTGTGTGTGTGTTTGTGTCTGTGTGTGTGTCAGTGTGTGTGTGTGTGTCTGTGTGTGTTTGTGTGTGTGTCTGTGTGTGTGTGTGTTTGTGTCTGTGTGTGTGTCAGTGTGTGTGTGTTTGTGTCTGTGTGTGTGTGTGTCTGTGTGTCAGTGTGTGTGTCTGTCTGTGTGTCTGTGTGTCAGTGTGTGTGTGTCTGTGTGTGTGTCTGTGTGTGTGTGTGTGTCTGTGTGTGTGTGTCTGTGTGTGTGTGTTTGTGTGTGTGTGTCTATGTGTGTGTGTGTGTTTGTGTGTGTGTTTGTGTGTGTGTGTGTCTGTGTGTGTGTCTGTGTGTGTGTGTCTGTGTGTGTTTGTGTGTGTGTGTGTCTGTGTGTGTGTGTCTGTGTGTGTGTCTGTGTGTGTCTGTGTGTGTGTCTGTGTGTGTGTGTCTGTGTGTGTGTGTCTGTGTGTGTGTGTGTCTGTGTGTGTGTGTCTGTGTGTGTGTGTGTCTGTGTGTGTGTGTGTGTCTGTGTGTGTCTGTGTGTGTCTATGTGTGTGTGTGTGTCTATGTGTGTGTGTGTCTGTGTGTGTATCTGTGTGTGTGTGTCTGTGTGTATGTGTGTCTGTGTGTGTGTCTGTTTGTGCGTGACGTCGTGACGTTGTATTCGTGACGTCGTCGTCGTGATGTTGCAGACGTGACGTCGTAGTCGCGGCATCGTAGTCGTGACGTCATCGTTGTGACGTTGTAATCGTGACATTGTCGTCGCGACATCGTCGCGACGTCGTCGTGACGTCGTGACGTAATCGTGACGTCGTAGTCGCGGCATCGTAGTCGTGACGTCATCGTTGTGACGTAATGGTGACGTCGTCGTCGCGACGTCGTCGTCGTGACGTCGTCGTGACGTCGTGACGTCGTGACGTAATCGTGACGTCGCAGTCGCGGCATCGTAGTCGTGATGTCGTAATCGTGACGTCGTCGCGACATCGTCATTGTGACGTCGTGGACGTGACGTCGTCGTTGCGACGTCATCGTCGCGACGTTGCAGACGTGACGTCGTCGTTGCGACGTCGCAGTCGTGACGTTGTAGTTGCGACGTCGTCATTGCGTCCTAGTCGTGACGTAGTCGTCGCGATGTCGTGGTCGTGACGTCGTCGTGATGTCGTAGTTGCGACGTCGTCGTCGCGACGTCGTAGTTGTGATGTCGTAGTTGTGATGTCGTAGTTGTGACGTCGTAGTTGTGGCGTCGTAGTTGTGACATCGACGCGGCGTCATCGTCGTGACGTCGTAGTCGTGACGTCGTAGTTGTGACGTCGTCGTGACGTCGTAGTTGTGACGTCGTAGTTGTGACGTCGACGCGGCGTCATCGTCGTGACGTCGTAGTCGTGATGTCGTAGTCGTGACGTCGTAGTTGTGACGTCGTCATGGCGTCGTAGTCGTGATGTCATCCCCATGACGTCGTCGTCGTCGCGACGTTGCAGACGTGACGTCGTAGTCGCGACGTCGCAGTCGTGACGTCGTAGTCGCGACGTCGTAGTTGTGAGGTCTTAGTCGCGACGTCGTAGTCGTGACGTCGTAGCCGTGACGTCGTCGCCGTGACGTCGTCGTAGTTGTGACGTCGTGGTTGTGACGTCGTGGTTGTGACGTCCTCACTGCCACACCGTTCCCGGCGGCGACAGCAACATGCTGAAGCTGGGCAAGTCGGAGGCGTGGACGAAGGCGCTGGAGCAGGTCGCCTCCACCACCGCCATGGACTCCACGGCCCTCATCGACTACTTCGAGCCCCTCTACCGCTGGCTGCAGGAGGACAACCACAGGCACGGGCAGACGGTGGGGTGGGACCCCGACTGGGCGCCCTGTGAGTACGGACCCCCCCCTCACCACCACGGACCCCCCACACGGACCCCCACGGACCCCCCCCTCACCACGGACCCCCCCACTACAGACACCCCCACTACAGACACCCCCACTACAGACACCCCCACCACGGACACCCCCACTACAGACACCCCACTACAGACACCCCCACTACGGACACCCCCACTACAGACACCCCACTACAGACACCCCACTACAGACACCCCACTACAGACACCCCCACTACAGACACCCCCACTACAGACACCCCCACCACGGACACCCCACAGACACCCCCACTAAAGACACCCCCACTACAGACACCCTACAGACACCCCCACTACAGACACCCCACTACAGACACCCCCACCACAGACACCCCCACTACGGACACCCCCACTACAGACACCCCCACTACAGACACCCCCACTACGGACACCCCCACTACAGACACCCCCACTACGGACACCCCCACTACAGACACCCCACTACAGACACCCCACCACAGACACCCCCACTACGGACACCCCCACTACAGACACCCCCACTACGGACACCCCCACTACGGACACCCCCACCACAGACACCCCCACTACGGACACCCCCACTACAGACACCCCACTACAGACACCCCACTACAGACACCCCACTACAGACACCCCACCACAGACACCCCCACTACGGACACCCCCACTACGGACACCCCCACTACAGACACCCCACTACAGACACCCCCACTACGGACACCCCCACCACAGACACCCCCACTACAGACACCCCACTACAGACACCCCACTACAGACACCCCACTACGGACACCCCCACCACAGACACCCCCACTACAGACACCCCACTACAGACACCCCACCACAGACACCCCCACTACGGACACCCCCACTACAGACACCTCCACTACAGACACCCCCACTACGGACCCCCCCCACTACGGACTCCCCCCACTACAGACACCCCCACTACAGACACCCCACTACACACACCCCCACTACAGACACCCCCACTACGGACCCCCCCCACTACAGACACCCCCACTACAGACACCCCACTACAGACACCCCCACCACGGACACCCCCACTACAGACACCCCCACTAGGGACACCCCCACTACAGACACCCCCACTACAGACACCCCCACTACAGACACCCCCACTACGGACCCCCCCCACTACAGACACCCCCACTACAGACACCCCACTACAGACACCCCCACTACAGACACCCCCACTACGGACCCCCCCCACTACAGACACCCCCACTACAGACACCCCACTACAGACACCCCCACTACAGACACCCCCACTACAGACACCCCCACTACGGACCCCCCCCACTACAGACACCCCCACTACAGACACCCCCACTAGGGACACCCCCACCACAGACACCCCACAGACACCCCCACTACAGACACCCCCACTACAGACACCCCCACTACAGACACCCCACAGACCCCCCCCCACTACAGACACCCCACAGACCCCCCCACTACAGACACCCCACTACAGACACCCCCACTACAGACACCCCCACTACAGACACCCCCACTACAGACACCCCCACTACAGACACCCACACTACAGACACCCACACTACAGACACCCCCACTACAGACACCCCCACTACAGACACCCCCACTACAGACACCCCCACTACAGACACCCCACTACAGACACCCCCACTACAGACACCCCCACTACGGACACCCCCACTACGGACACCCCCACTACAGACACCCCACTACAGACACCCCACTACGGACACCCCCACTACAGACACCCCCACTACAGACACCCCTACTACAGACACTCCCACTACAGACACCCCCATTACAGACACCCCCACTACAGACACCCCACTACAGACACCCCCATTACAGACACCCCCACTACAGACACCCCACTACGGACACCCCCACCACAGACACCCCCACTACGGACACCCCCACTACGGACACCCCCACTACAGACACCCCCACTACAGACACCCCCACTACAGACACCCCCACTACGGACACCCCCACTACGGACACCCCCACTACAGACACCCCCACTACAGACACCCCCACTACAGACACCCCCACCACAGACACCCCCACTACAGACACCCCCACTACAGACACCCCCACTATGGACACCCCCACTACAGACACCCCCACTACAGACACCCCCACAGACACCCCCACAGACACCCCCACTACAGACACCCCCACAGACACCCCCACTACAGACACCCCCACTACAGACACCCTACAGACACCCCCACTACAGACACCCCCACTACAGACACCCCCACTACAGACACCCCCACTACAGACACCCTACAGACACCCCCACTACGGACACCCCCACTACAGACACCCCCACTACAGACACCCCCACTACAGACACCCCCACTACAGACACCCCCACTACAGACACCCTACAGACACCCCCACTACAGACACCCCCACTACAGACACCCCCACTACAGACACCCCCACTACGGACACCCCACAGACCCCCCCACTACAGACACCCCCACAGACCCCCCCACTACAGACCCCCCCACTACAGACACCCCCACTACAGACACCCTACAGACACCCCCACTACAGACACCCTCACTACAGACACCCCCACTACAGACACCCCCATTACAGACACCCCCACTACAGACACCCCCACTACAGACACCCCACTACAGACACCCCTACTACAGACACCCCCACTACAGACACCCCCACTACAGACACCCCCACTACAGACACCCCCACTACAGACACCCCCACAGACACCCCCACAGACACCCCCACTACAGACACCCCCACAGACACCCCCACTACAGACACCCTACAGACACCCCCACTACAGACACTCTACAGACACCCCCACTACGGACACCCCCACTACAGACACCCCCACTACAGACACCCCCACTACAGACACCCCCACTACGGACACCCCCACTACAGACACCCCCACTACAGACACCCCCACTACAGACACCCCACTACAGACACCCCCACTACAGACACCCTACAGACACCCCCACTACAGACACCCCCACTACAGACACCCCACTACAGACACCCCCACTACAGACACCCCCACTACAGAACACCCCCACTACAGACACCCCCACTACAGACACCCCCACTACAGACACCCCCACTACAGACACCCTACAGACACCCCCACTACAGACACCCCACTACAGACACCCCCACTACAGACACCCCCACTACAGACACCCCCACTACGGACACCCCACAGACCCCCCCACTACAGACACCCCCACTACAGACACCCCCACTACAGACACCCTACAGACACCCCCACTACAGACACCCCCACTACAGACACCCCCACTACAGACACCCCCACTACAGACACCCCCACTACAGACACCCCCACTACAGACACCCCTACTACAGACACCCCCACTACAGACACCCACACTACAGACACCCCCACTACAGACACCCCCACTACAGACACCCCCACAGACACCCCCACAGACACCCCCACTACAGACACCCCCACAGACACCCCCACTACAGACACCCTACAGACACCCCCACTACAGACACCCCACAGACACTCCCACTACAGACACCCCCACTACAGACACCCCCACTACAGACACCCCCACTACAGACACCCCCACTACAGACACACCCACTACAGACACCCCACTACGGACACCCCCACTACAGACACCCCCCACTACAGACACCCCCACGAACCCCCCCACGGACCCCCCACGGACCCCCCCATGTATAGTAGTGTAGTGTATAGTGTAGTATATAGTAGTGTATAGTAGTGTAGTGTATAGTAGTGTAGGGTATAGTAGTATAGTGTATAGTAGTGTAGTGTATAGTGTAGTGTAGTATATAGTAGTGTATAGTAGTGTAGTGTATAGTAGTGTAGTGTATAGTGTAGTGTGTAGTGTATAGTGTAGTGTATAGTGTAGTGTATAGTAGTGTAGTGAATAGTAGTGTATAGTGTAGATAGTATTGTTGTGTATAGTGTAGTGTATAGTAGTGTAGTGTATAGTAGTGTAGTATATAATAGTGTAGTGTATAGTGTAGTGTGTAGTGTATAGTAGTCTAGTATAATTTAGATTTTTATTTCTTGGGGGGGGTGGGGGGTGGTGTGGGGGGGGTGGGGGGGGACCCCCAGACCCCCAGACCCCCAGGCCCCCAGACCCCCTGGACGATTTGATCCCACTCAATGTTGACTCCGTGACTACTGCCTTGGTGTGGGGGATCTCTGTGATTTGTGACTGCTGCCAGACATGAACGAGGCCATGAAAGTGAGGATCAGCCTGAAGGCGGAGATGGGGGACGATGCCGTGAGTGGACGCACGCACAGACAAAGATCCCCCGGGTAGCCTCCGTCAGACTGTGGTGGCAAGTGGCTGTGAGTAGCGAGCAGCACCTATAGACACACAGACAAAGGTCCCCCGGGTAGCCTCTGACAGGGCTGTAGGGGCAAGTGGCGAGCATCGCCTATAGACACACAGACAAAGGTCCCCCGTGTAGTCTCTAACAGGCTGTAGGGGCAAGTGCTGTTAGCGAGTAGCAGCAGCGCCTATACACAGACAAAGATCCCCCGGGTAGTCTCTAACAGGGCTGTAGGGGCAAGTGGCTGTGAGTAGCGAGCAGCAGCTACAGACACACAGACAAAGGTCCCCCGTGTAGCCTCTAACAGGGCTGTAGGGGCAAGTACTGTTAGCGAGTAGCAGCAGCACCTATAGACACACAGACAAAGGTCCCCCGTGTAGCCTCTAACAGGCTGTAGGGGCAAGTGGCTGTGAGTAGCGAGCAGCACCTATAGACGGAAAGATCTCTCAGTGTCTCAGTGTCTCCGTGTCTTATTGTCCCCGTGTCTATGTGACCCCGAGTCTCTGTCTCAGTGTCTCAGTGTCTCCGTGTCTCAGTGTCTCCGTGTCTCATTGTCCCCGTGTCTCTGTGACCCCAAATCTGTCTCAGTGTCTCCGTGTCTCCTTGTCCCCGTCTCTCTGTGACCCCAAGTCTCTGTCTCAGTGTCTCCGTGTCTCCGTGTCTCATTGTCCCCGTGTCTATGTGACCCCAAGTCTCTGTCTCAGTGTCTCAGTGTCTCCGTGTCTCCGTGTCTCATTGTCCCCGTGTCTATGTGACCCCAAGTCTCTGTCTCAGTGTCTCAGTGTCTCCGTGTCTCAGTGTCTCCGTGTCTCTGTGACCCCAAGTCTCTGTCTCAGTGTCTCCGAGTCTCTGTCCCCGTGTCTCTGTCCCAGTGTCTCCGAGTCTCTGTCTCAGTGTCTCCATGTCTCTGTCCCAGTGTCTCCGTGTCTCTGTCTCAGTGTCTCCGAGTCTCTGTCCCAGCGTCTCTGTGTCTCTGTCTCATTGTCTCCGCGTCTCTGTCCCAGTGTCTCTGTCTCAGTGTCTCCATGTCTTTGTCTCAGTGTCTCCGTGTCTTTGTCTCAGTGTCTCCGTATCTCATCATCCCCGTGTCTCTGTGACCGCGAGTCTCTGTCCCAGTGTCTCCGTGTCTCTGTCCCAGTGTCTCCGTGTCTCTGTCTCAGTGTCTCCGTGTCTCTGTCCCAGTGTCTCCGTGTCTCTGTCCCAGTGTCTCCGTGTCTCTGTCTCAGTGTCTCCGTGTCTCTGTCTCAGTGTCTCCGTGTCTCTGTCCCAGTGTCTCCGTTTCTCTGTCCCAGTGTCTCCGTGTCTCTGTCTCAGTGTCTCTGAGTCTCTTTCTCAGTGTCTCCTTGTCTCTGTCTCAGTGTCTCCGTGTCTCTGTCTCAGTGTCTCTGTCTCAGTGTCTCCGTGTCTCTGTCTCAGTGTCTCTGTCTCAGTGTCTCTGAGTCTCTGTCTCAGTGTCTCCGTGTCTCATCATCCCATGTCTCTGTGACCGCGAGTCTCTGTCCCAGTGTCTCCGTGTCTCTGTCCCAGTGTCTCCGTGTCTCTGTTTCAGTGTCTCCGTGTCGCTGTCTCAGTCACTCCGTGTCTTTGTCGCAGTGTCTCCGAGTCTCTGTCTCAGTGTCTCCGAGTCTCTGTCCCAGTGTCTCCGTGTCTCTATCCCAGTGTCTCTGTGTCTCTGTCTCAGCGTCTCCGTGTCTCTGTGACCCCGAGTCTCTGTCTCAGTGTCTCCGTGTCTCATCGTCCCCGTGTCTCTGTGACCCCGAGTCTCTGTGTCTCCGTGTCTCATCATCCCCGTGTCTCTGTGACCCCGAGTCTCTGTGTCTCCGTGTGTCATCGGCCCCGTGTCTCATCATCCCCGTGTCTCTGTGACCCCGAGTCTCCGTGTCTCCGTGTCTCATCATCCCCGTGTCTCTGTGACCCCGAGTCTCTGTGTCTCCGTGTGTCATCGGCCCCGTGTCTCATCATCCCCGTGTCTCTGTGACCCCGAGTCTCTGTGTCTCCGTGTCTCATCGTCCCCGTGTCTCTGTGACCCCGAGTCTCTGTGTCTCCGTGTCTCATCATCCCCGTGTTTCTGTGACCCCGAGTCTCTGTGTCTCCGTGTCTCATCATCCCCGTGTCTCTGTGACCCCGAGTCTCTGTGTCTCCGTGTGTCATCGGCCCCGTGTCTCATCGTCCCCGTGTCTCGGTGTCTCCGCGTCGTCCCCCACTCCCCGGCGTCGTCCCCCCGGTGTCCCCCGCGCGTTGTCTCCACGTTGTCTCCACGTTGTCTCCACGTTGTCCCCGCGCGATGTCTCTGTGTGCGTGCAGTACGAGTGGAACGAGGTTGAGCTCTATCTGTTCCGCTCCGTCACGGCCTACGCCATGCGCAAGTACAGCCGGGGCCTCGGGGAGGAGGTGCAGTACGAGTGAGTCGTGAAGCACGCTCACAACCACGTGACCCACGTGAACCACGTGACCCACATTCACAACCACGTGACCCACACTCACAACCACGTGAACCACGTGACCCACATTCACAACCACGTGAACCACGTGAAGCACATTCACAACCACGTGAACCACATTCACAACCACGTGAACCACATTCACAACCACGTGAACCACACTCACAACCACGTGAACCACGTGAACCACGTGAACCACGTGAACCACGTGAACCACATTCACAACCACGTGAACCACGTGAAGCACATTCACAACCACGTGAACCACATTCACAACCACGTGAACCACGTGAACCACACTCACAACCACGTGAACCACGTGAACCACGTGAACCACATTCACAACCACGTGAACCACGTGAAGCACATTCACAACCACGTGAACCACATTCACAACCACGTGACCCACATTCACAACCACGTGACCCACGTGACCCACACTCACAACCACGTGAACCACGTGAACCAAACTCACAACCACGTGACCCACATTCACAACCACGTGAAGCACATTCACAACCATGTGAACCACGTGACCCACATTCACAACCATGTGAACCACGTGACCCACATTCACAACCACGTGAACCACGTGAACCACACTCACAACCACGTGACCCACACTCACAACCACGTGAACCACGTGAACCACGTGAACCACATTCACAACCACGTGACCCACATTCACAACCACGTGAACCACACTCACAACCACGTGAACCACACTCACAGACAGACACCACGAGTCTCCTTGTCTTTGTCTCTGTGTCTTTGTCTCTGTGTCTTTGTCTCCGTGTCTCTGTCTCCGTGTCTGTGTCTCTGTGTCTCTGTCTCTGTGTCTTTGTCTCCGTGTCGCCAGCGTGGACAACGTCGTTGTCTTCAGAGAGACACCGAGAGTCACTCTGTCTCTGTGTCTCTGTCTCTTTGTTTTTGTCTCCGTGTCCCTAGCGTGGACAACATCGTTGTCTTCAGAGAGACACCGCCAGTCATTGTCTCTGTGTCTCTGTCTCTGTGTCTCTGTCTCTGTGTCGCTAGCGTGGACAACATCGTTGTCTTCAGAGAGACACCGAGAGTCACTGTGTCTCTGTGTCTCTGTCTCTGTGTCTCTTTGTCTTTGTCCCTGTGTCTCTGTCTCCGTGTCCCTAGCGTGGACAACATCGTTGTCTTCAGAGAGACACCGCCAGTCACTGTGTCTCTGAGTCTCTGTCTCTGTGTCTCTGTCTCTGTGTCCCCAGCGTGGACAACATCGTTGTCTTTAGAGAGACACCGCCAGTCACAGTGTCTCCGTGTCTCTGTCTCTGTGTCTCTGTTTCTGTGTCCCCAGCGTGGACAACATCGTTGTCTTCAGAGAGACACCGCCAGTCACTGTCTCTGTGTCTGTCTCTTTGTCTTTGTCCCTGTGTCTCTGTCTCTGTGTCTTTGTCTCTGTGTCTGTCTCTGAGTCACTGTCTCTGTGTCTCTGTCTCTGTGTCTCTGTCTCCGTGTCCCCAGCGTGGACAACATCGTTGTCTTCAGAGAGACACCGCCAGTCACTGTGTCTCTGAGTCTCTGTCTCCGTGTCTCTGTCTCTGTGTCTCTGTGTCCCCAGCGTGGACAACATCGTTGTCTTCAAAGAGACACCGCGAGTCACTGTGTCTCTGTCTCTGTGTCTCTGTGTCCCCAGCGTGGACAACATCGTTGTCTTCAAAGAGACACCGCCAGTCACTGTGTCTCTGTGTCTCTGTCTCTGTGTCTCTGTCTCTGTGTCTCTGTCTCCGTGTCCCCAGCGTGGACAACATCGTTGTCTTCAGAGAGACACCGCCAGTCAATGTGTCTCCGTGTCTCTGTCTCTGTGTCTCTGTGTCCCCAGCGTGGACAACATCGTTGTCTTCAGAGAGACACCGAGAGTCACTGTCTCTGTGTCTCTGTCTCTGTGTCTCTGTCTCCGTGTCCCCAGCGTGGACAACATCGTTGTCTTCAGAGAGACACCGCCAGTCAATGTGTCTCCGTGTCTCTGTCTCTGTGTCTCTGTGTCCCCAGCGTGGACAACATCGTTGTCTTCAGAGAGACACCGAGAGTCTCCTTCTACTTCCTGGTCCGGCACCCGGGCGACGCGTCCACCGTGGTGCCTCTAGCAGACGTCCAAGCCGCTGTCAGGTGAGCAGAGACCCACAGGCTCACACACAGAGACCCATAGACTCACACAGAGACCCATAGACTCATCACACAGAGACCCACAGACTCATCACACAGAGACCCACAGACTCATCACACAGAGACCCACAGACTCACACACAGAGACCCACAGACTCACACATAGGGACCCATAGACTCACACACAGAGACCCATAGACTCACACATAGAGACCCATAGAATCACACAGAGACCCATAGACTCACACACAGAGACCCATAGACTCACACACAGAGACCCATAGACTCATCACTCAGAGACCCACAGACTCATCACACAGAGACCCATAGACTCACACACAGAGACCCACAGACTCATCACACAGAGACCCACAGACTCATCACACAGAGACCCACAGACTCACACACAGAGACCCATAGACTCACACACAGAGACCCACAGACTCATCACACAGAGACCCACAGACTCACCACACAGAGACCCACAGACACACAGAGACCCACAGACTCACACACAGAGACCCACAGACTCACACACAGAGACCCACAGACTCACACACAGAGACCCATAGACTCACACACAGAGACCCATAGACTCACACACAGAGACCCATAGACTCACACACAGAGACCCACAGACTCACACATAGAGACCCACAGACTCACACATAGAGACCCACAGATTCACACATAGCGACCCACAGACTCACACATAGAGACCCATAGACTCATCACACAGAGACCCATAGACTCACACATAGAGACCAATAGACTCACACACAGAGACCCACAGACTCACACACAGAGACCCATAGACTCACACACAGAGACCATAGACTCACCACACAGAGACCCACAGACTCATCACACAGAGACCCATAGACTCATCACACAGAGACCCGTAGACTCATCACACAGAGACCCACAGACTCATCACACAGAGACCCATAGACTCATCACACAGAGACCCATAGACTCATCACACAGAGAACCACAGACTCATCACACAGAGACCCATAGACTCATCACACAGAGACCCATAGACTCATCACACAGAGACCCACAGACTCATCACACAGAGACCCATAGACTCATCATACAGAGACCCATAGACTCACACATAGAGACCCACAGACTCATCACACAGAGACCCACAGACTCACCACACAGAGACCCACAGTCTCATCACAGAGACCCATAGACTCATCACACAGACCCATAGACTCATCACACAGAGACCCATAGACTCATCACACAGAGACCCATAGACTCATCACACAGAGACCCACAGACTCATCACACAGAGACCCATAGACTCATCATACAGAGACCCATAGACTCACACATAGAGACCCACAGACTCATCACACAGAGACCCACAGTCTCATCACAGAGACCCATAGACTCATCACACAGACCCATAGACTCATCACACAGAGACCCATAGACTCACCACACAGAGACCATAGACTCATCACACAGAGACCATAGACTCATCACACAGAGACCCACAGACTCATCACACAGAGACCCACAGACTCATCACACAGAGACCCACAGACTCATCACACAGAGACCCACAGATTCATCACACAGAGACCCACAGACTCATCACACAGAGACCCACAGACTCATCACACAGAGACCCATAGACTCATCACACAGAGACCCACAGATTCATCACACAGAGACCCATAGACTCACCACAGAGAGAGCCACATTCGGGTGTTGTTCATAAGTGGGGGTCTAAATCGATGACTGAAATCTTGATTTGAAGCTTTCGTGACTGCAGGAATCCATACTCGTTGGTATCTTGCGGTAAAGCCATCACGTGGGTAGAAATAAAACGAACTCAAACAAATCACGACGTTTCGATCGGAACACGAAGGACCTCCATCAGGCGGAGAGAGCTGCCGTGGCAAGAGGCTATATAGGTAAGAAAGGGGGAGGAGCTAGGGCGGGGAGAGGGGGGCGTGGGGTAGGGGGAGGGGCTGCGTGAGCGCTAGGGGAGGGGGGAAGTGGGCGGGGCTAGAAGTGGGAAGCTGAGTGTGGACACGCGGGGGAGGGGGGGCGGGGTTTGGGGTAGGGGGAGGGGCTGCATGAGCGCTGGGGGGGGGGAGTGGGCGGGGCTAGAAGTGGGAAGCTGAGTGTGGACACGGGGGGGGGAGGGGGGGCGGGGTGTGGGGTAGGGGGAGGGGCTGCGTGAGCGCTGGAGGGGGGGGGGGAAGTGGGCGGGGCTAGAAGTGGGAAGCTGAGTGTGGACACGCGGGGAGGGGGGTGGGGTGTGGGGTAGGGGGAGGGGCTGCGTGAGCGCTGGGGGAGGCAGTGGGCGGGGCTAGAAGTGGGAAGCTGAGTGTGGACACGGGGGAGGGGGGCGGGGTGTAGGGTAGGGGGAGGGGCTGCGTGAGCGCTGGGGGGGGGGGGCAGTGGGCGGGGCTAGAAGTGGGAAGCTAAGTGTGGACACGGGGGGGTGGGCGGGGCACAGAAAAGAAGGTGCTAGTAGACCGGCGGGCAGGATGGAAACAACCACAACCATATTCTTGGTTCTTTCGGTAAAGTCACCACCACGTAGAAGGGGAAACAATAAAATAATAAAAATATAAAACAATAAAATTCTCACGACGTTTCGACTGCAACACAAGAAGCAATCATCATCAGGTATGAAAACCACAGCAAGAACAATTTGAAAAAAGTGGCGGGTTTTTTTTAACGTTAGCACCACGGAGAGCGATTTGGGAGTTTGTTCAGATGGACGAGTCCATCTATGTTCGGAAAAGAGGAGGGGGGAGACGAAAATAATGGATGCGGTCTGAAAGCCACCGTAAGCGTGAACAATCAATTAAGACCAAAAATGGTTTATCAAATCCTTCCAATGATTGCTAAGCCAGAATTCATCTTCTCGGTTGAAATTGTCTCCGTGTTTGTAGATGTGGATAGCCTTAACCACAGCCAGTTAAGGCGTTGCCTGGTTAATAACATCCTTCCAACGATTGCTCAATTTGTATCCGTCTGCTCGGTTGAAGTGATGTCTACGTTTATATATCTGGATGGCTTCATGAACAAACCTTTGATAGTAGCCCGAAGATTTGCAGAGTACCTTGGTCTCGGAAAAAACAACAATATCACACAGCGTTACGTAGCAGTGGGTCAGCCACGGCAGAGGTGTTGGTCCTGCCGTGGTTCAGATCTGCCTTGTGTTCGCGAACACGGTCCGAGACGTGTCGTTTCGTTTCCCCGATGCAGCTGCTGCCGCAGGTGCCAGCTCAGTTTGTAGACTCCAGGGTACTGCATGTCAGGAATGACCTCCTTCACAGCTGGGATTCGATCATGGATTTTGTGTAGTGTATTGAATCGGACCTGGATCCTGTGTTTGTTTAAGATTTTGGAAATATTTTTTTAACACCTTCTGTGCATGGTAAAGTGATGGTTTTGATCGGCTTCTCAGGAGGCTGTTTCTCCATGGTTGGAGAAACAGCTTTGCGAATAATGCGGTCCGAGTACCCATTCATCCTGAGGGCCTGGTGTGCGTGTTCCAGTTCACTGACTCCGTGGTGTTGGTCGGAGGTGCAGTGGGCCCTATGGTGTAGGGTTTTGATGAGGGAATTATTCTGGGCCGGATGGTGGTGGGAATCAGGCTTTAGATAGGAATCTGCGCGGGTGGCTTTCCCGTGGACAGAGTGTCCCAACGAGATGTCAGGCCTCTTCTCAAACAGAACATCCGGGAATGGTAGCTTAGCATCTTTCTCCACTTCCATGGTGAATTCCATACACCCATCCATCATACACCCATCCATCATACACTCATCCATCATACACCCATACATCATACACCCATCCACCATACACCCATCCACCATACACCCATCCATCATACACCCATCCATCATACACCCATCCACCATACACCCACCCACCATACACCCACCCACCATACACCCATCCACCATACACCCATCCATCATACACCCATCCACCATACACCCATCCACCATACACCCATCCACCATACACCCATCCACCATACACCCATCCATCATACACTCATCCATCATACACCCATCCACCATACACCCACCCACCATACACCCACCCATCATACACCCATCCACCATACACCCATCCATCATACACCCATCCATCATACACCCATCCACCATACACCCATCCACCATACACCCATCCATCATACACCCATCCATCATACACCCATCCATCATACACCCACCCACCATACACCCACGCACCATACACCCACCCACCATACACCCATCCACCATACACCCACCCACCATACACCCATCCATCATACACCCATCCACAATACACCCACCCACCATACACCCATACATCATACACCCATCCACCATACACCCATCCATCATACACTCATCCACCATCCACCCACCCACCGTACACCCACCCACCGTACACCCATCCACCATACACCCATCCACCATACACCCATCCATCATACACCCATCCACCATACACCCATCCATCATACACCCATCCATCATACACCCATCCATCATACACCCATCATACACCCATCCACCATACACCCACCCACCATACACCCATCCACCATACACCCACCCACCATACACCCATCCACCGTACACCCATCCATCGTACACCCATCCATCATACACCCACCCACCATACACCCACCCATCATACACCCATCCATCATACACCCATCCATCATACACCCATCCACCATACACCCACCCACCATACACCCACCCACCATACACCCATCCACTATACACCCATCCATCAAATTCACCATGGAAGTGGAGAAGGCTGGTAAGCCACCATTCCTGGATGTTCTGTTTGAGAAGAGGCCTTACGACTCTGCAGATTAGTTTCTCGGTGGCAAATTAGATCGGTACCTCTTTACAGATTCCTCCTCTCCCCCACTCTCCCCCCACTCTCTCCCCTCTCTCTCCCCTCTCTCCCCCCACTCCCCCCCACTCCCCCCACTCCCTGCTCTCCCCCCACTCCCCCCACTCCCTCCACTCCCCCCACTCCCCCCACTCCCCCCCACTCCCTCCACTCCCCCCACTCCCTGCTCTCCCCCCACTCCCCCCACTCCCTCCACTCCCCCCACTCCCCCCACTCCCTCCACTCCCGCCACTCTCCCCCCCCACTCCCCCCTCTCCCCTCCACTCCCCCCACTCCCCCCTCTCCCCCCTCTCCCCCCACTCCCCCCACTCCCCCACTCCCCCCTCTCCCTCCACTCCCCCCACTCCCCCTCTCCCCCCTCTCCCCCACTACCCCCACTCCCCCTCTCCCCCCACTACCCCCCCTCTCCCCCCACTACCCCCCCACTCCCCCCACTCCCCCCCCACTCCCCCCACTCCCCCCACTCCCCCCCATCTCCCCCTCTCCCCCTCTCCCCCACTCCCCCTCTCCCCCTCTCCCCCTCTCCCCCCACTACCCCCCCTCTCCCCCCACTACCCCCCCACTCCCCCCACTCCCCCCCCACTCCCCCCACTCCCCCCACTCCCCCCCATCTCCCCCTCTCCCCCTCTCCCCCTCTCCCCCCTCTCCCCCTCTCCCCCACTCCCCCTCTCCCCCTCTCCCCCTCTCCCCCCACTCCCCCTCTCCCCCACTCCCCCACTCCCCCTCTCCCCCACTCCCCCTCTCCCCCCTCTCCCCCTCTCCCCCCACTACCCCCCCACTCCCCCCACTCCCCCCCCACTCCCCCCACTCCCCCCACTCCCCCCCACTCCCCCCCATCTCCCCCTCTCCCCCTCTCCCCCTCTCCCCCCTCTCCCCCCTCTCCCCTCCACTCCCCCACTCCCCCTCTCCCCCCTCTCCCCCCACTCCCCCCACTCCCCCCACTCCCCCACTCCCCCACTCCCCCACTCCCCCTCTCCCCCCTCTCCCCCTCTCCCCCCACTACCCCCCACTCCCCCCACTCCCCCCCCACTCCCCCCACTCCCCCCACTCCCCCCCATCTCCCCCTCTCCCCCTCTCCCCCTCTCCCCCCTCTCCCCTCCACTCCCCCACTCCCCCCTCTCCCCCCTCTCCCCCCTCTCCCCTCCACTCCCCCACTCCCCCCTCTCCCCCCACTCCCCCCACTCCCCCCACTCCCCCCCATCTCCCCCTCTCCCCCTCTCCCCCTCTCCCCCCTCTCCCCCTCTCCCCCACTCCCCCTCTCCCCCTCTCCCCCTCTCCCCCCACTCCCCTCTCCCCCACTCCCCCACTCCCCCTCTCCCCCACTCCCCCTCTCCCCCTCTCCCCCTCTCCCCCCACTACCCCCCACTCCCCCACTCCCCCCCCACTCCCCCCACTCCCCCCACTCCCCCCCACTCCCCCCCATCTCCCCCTCTCCCCCTCTCCCCCTCTCCCCCCTCTCCCCCCTCTCCCCTCCACTCCCCCCACTCCCCCTCTCCCCCCTCTCCCCCCACTCCCCCCACTCCCCCCACTCCCCCACTCCCCCACTCCCCCACTCCCCCTCTCCCCCCTCTCCCCCTCTCCCCCCACTACCCCCCCACTCCCCCCACTCCCCCCCCACTCCCCCACTCCCCCCACTCCCCCCCATCTCCCCCTCTCCCCCTCTCCCCCTCTCCCCCCTCTCCCCTCCACTCCCCCACTCCCCCCTCTCCCCCCTCTCCCCCCACTCCCCCCACTCCCCCACTCCCCCCTCTCCCTCCACTCCCCCCACTCCCCCTCTCCCCCCTCTCCCCCCACTACCCCCACTCCCCCTCTCCCCCCACTACCCCCCCTCTCCCCCCACTCCCCCCCCACTCCCCCCACTCCCCCCACTCCCCCCCATCTCCCCCTCTCCCCCTCTCCCCCACTCCCCCTCTCCCCCCTCTCCCCCTCTCCCCCCACTACCCCCCCTCTCCCCCCACTACCCCCCCACTCCCCCCACTCCCCCCCCACTCCCCCCACTCCCCCCACTCCCCCCCATCTCCCCCTCTCCCCCTCTCCCCCTCTCCCCCCTCTCCCCCTCTCCCCCACTCCCCCTCTCCCCCTCTCCCCCTCTCCCCCCACTCCCCCTCTCCCCCACTCCCCCACTCCCCCTCTCCCCCACTCCCCCTCTCCCCCCTCTCCCCCTCTCCCCCCACTACCCCCCACTCCCCCCCACTCCCCCCACTCCCCCCACTCCCCCCCATCTCCCCCTCTCCCCCTCTCCCCCACTCCCCCTCTCCCCCCTCTCCCCCTCTCCCCCCACTACCCCCCCTCTCCCCCCACTACCCCCCCACTCCCCCCACTCCCCCCCCACTCCCCCCCACTCCCCCCACTCCCCCCCCTCTCCCCCTCTCCCCCTCTCCCCCCCCACTCCCCCCCCCCCACTCCCCCTCTCCCCCCTCCCCCCCTCTCCCCCTCTCCCCCCTCTCCCCTCCCCCAGGGCCTCCCGCCACCGCTACAACCGAGCCCTGCTGCTCTCCGACGCGTCGCTCGAGTTCCTGGGGGTGGCGGCGTCGCTGGCGCCCCCCCCGGCGCCGCCCACCACCGTGTGGCTCGTCGTGTTCGGAGTCGTCATGGGGGTCGTCGTCGTCGCCTTCGCCGTGCTCGTCACTCAGGGGCAGCTGGCGCGAAGGTCACCACTCACCACTCACCACTCACCACACTCACCACTCACCACTCTCACCACTCACCACTCACCACACTCACCACTCACCACCCTCACCACTCACCACACTCACCACTCACCACACTCACCACTCACCACTCTCACCACTCACCACTCACCACACTCACCACTCACCACCCTCACCACTCACCACACTCACCACTCACCACTCACCACTCACCACACTCACCACTCACCACCCTCACCACTCACCACACTCACCACTCACCACTCTCACCACTCACCACTCACCACACTCACCACTCACCACTCACCACCCACCACACTCACCACTCACCACACTCACCACACTCACCACTCACCACTCACCACACTCACCACTCACCACTCACCACTCACCACTCACCACCCTCACCACTCTCACCACTCACCACTCACCACTCACCATCACCGTGTGGCTCGTCGTGTTCGGAGTCGTCATGGGGGTCGTCGTCGTCGCCTTCGCCGTGCTCCTCGCTCAGGGGCAGCTGGCACGAAGGTCACCACTCACCACACTCACCACACTCACCACTCACCACCCTCACCACTCACCACCCTCACCACTCACCACACTCACCACTCACCACTCACCACACTCACCACCCTCACCACTCACCACCCTCACCACTCACCACCCTCACCACCCTCACCACTCTCACCACTCACCACCCACACCACCCTCACCACCCTCACCACCCTCACCACTCTCACCACTCACCACCCACACCACCCTCACCACCCTCACCACCCTCACCACCCTCGCCACTCACACCACTCTCACCACTCACCACCCTCACCACCCTCACCACTCACCACCCTCACCACCCTCGCCACTCACCACCCTCACCACACTCACCACCCTCGCCGCTCACTACCCACGCCACTCGCCTTCCTCACCACCCACGCCGCTCACCACCCACGCCGCTCACCACTCACCACTCACCACCCACGCCGCTCACCACCCACGCCGCTCACCACCCACGCCGCTCACCACCCTTCCTCACCACCGTGCTGCTCATCTCACCGCTCACCTTCCTCACCGCTCAACGCTCACCAACTCACTCACCTCATCCATCACCAACTCACTCACCTCATCCATCACCAACTCACTCACCTCATCCATCACCAACTCACTCCCCCTCCTCTTACCCACCCCCCCCCCCTCCTCTGCCCCCTCCTCTCCCCCCCTCCTCCTCCTCCCCTCCCCCCTCCCTCCTCTGCCCCCTCCTCCTCCTCCCCTCCTCTTCCTCCTCCTCCTCACCACGTCACCAGGAAGAGGAAGAAGCAGCAGGCAATGGGGGAAGGTGACGGGGAGAGTTTGGAGCGCGTCAGCCAGGGTGACCTCAACCCCTACAGCAGCAGCAGCAGCTTCGAGATGGCCAAGGGGGTCGCCCCCCACCCAGCGGAAAAGGGCCTGCACGGGTACGCATGATGATCATCGTCAGTAGAAGTTGCATGATGATCATCGTCAGTAGAAGTTGCATGATGATCATCGTCAGTAGAAGTTGCATGATGATCATCGTCAGTAGAAGTTGCATGATGATCATCGTCAGTAGAAGTTGCATGATGATCATCGTCATCGTCAGTAGAAGTTGCATGATGATCATCGTCAGTAGAAGTTGCATGATGATCATCGTCAGTAGAAGTTGCATGATGATCATCGTCATCGTCAGTAGAAGTTGCATGATGATCATCGTCAGTAGAAGTTGCATGATGATTATCGTCAGTAGAAGTTGCATGATGATCATCGTCAGTAGAAGTTGCATGATGATCATCGTCAGTAGAAGTTGCATGATGATCATCGTCAGTAGAAGTTGCATGATGATCATCGTCATCGTCAGTAGAAGTTGCATGATGATCATCGTCAGTAGAAGTTGCATGATGATCATCGTCAGTAGAAGTTGCATGATGATCATCGTCATCGTCAGTAGAAGTTGCATGATGATCATCGTCAGTAGAAGTTGCATGATGATCATCGTCAGTAGAAGTTGCATGATGATCATCGTCAGTAGAAGTTGCATGATGATCATCGTCAGTAGAAGTTGCATGATGATCATCGTCAGTAGAAGTTGCATGATGATCATCGTCATCGTCAGTAGAAGTTGCATGATGATCATCGTCAGTAGAAGTTGCATGATGATCATCGTCAGTAGAAGTTGCATGATGATCATCGTCAGTAGAAGTTGCATGATGATCATCGTCAGTAGAAGTTGCATGATGATCATCGTCAGTAGAAGTTGCATGATGATCATCGTCATCGTCAGTAGAAGTTGCATGATGATCATCATCAGTAGAAGTTGCATGATGATCATCGTCAGTAGAAGTTGCATGATGATCATCGTCAGTAGAAGTTGCATGATGATCATCGTCAGTAGAAGTTGCATGATGATCATCGTCATCGTCAGTAGAAGTTGCATGATGATCATCGTCAGTAGAAGTTGCATGATGATCATCGTCATCGTCAGTAGAAGTTGCATGATGATCATCGTCAGTAGAAGTTGCATGATGATCATCGTCAGTAGAAGTTGCATGATGATCATCGTCAGTAGAAGTTGCATGATGATCATCGTCATCAGTAGAAGTTGCATTCAAATCATCGTCATCAGTAGAAGTTGCATGATGATCATCGTCATCAGTAGAAGTTGCATTCAAATCATCGTCATCAGTAGAAGTCGCATGATGATCATCGTCATCGTCAGTAGAAGTTGCATGATGATCATCGTCAGTAGAAGTTGCATGATGATCATCGTCATTGTCAGTAGAAGTTGCATGATGATCATCGTCAGTAGAAGTTGCATGATGATCATCGTCAGTAGAAGTTGCATGATGATCATCGTCAGTAGAAGTTGCATGATGATCATCGTCAGTAGAAGTTGCATGATGATCATCGTCAGTAGAAGTTGCATGATGATCATCGTCATCGTCAGTAGAAGTTGCATGATGATCATCGTCAGTAGAAGTTGCATGATGATCATCGTCAGTAGAAGTTGCATGATGATCATCGTCAGTAGAAGTTGCATGATGATCATCGTCAGTAGAAGTTGCATGATGATCATCGTCATCGTCAGTAGAAGTTGCATGATGATCATCGTCAGTAGAAGTTGCATGATGATCATCGTCATCGTCAGTAGAAGTTGCATGATGATCATCATCAGTAGAAGTTGCATGATGATCATCGTCAGTAGAAGTTGCATGATGATCATCGTCAGTAGAAGTTGCATGATGATCATCGTCAGTAGAAGTTGCATGATGATCATCGTCATCGTCAGTAGAAGTTGCATGATGATCATCGTCAGTAGAAGTTGCATGATGATCATCGTCATCGTCAGTAGAAGTTGCATGATGATCATCGTCAGTAGAAGTTGCATGATGATCATCGTCAGTAGAAGTTGCATGATGATCATCGTCAGTAGAAGTTGCATGATGATCATCGTCAGTAGAAGTTGCATTCAAATCATCGTCATCAGTAGAAGTTGCATTCAAATCATCGTCAGTAGAAGTTGCATTCAAATCATCGTCATCGTCATCAGTAAAAGTTGCATTCAAATCATCGTCATCAGTAGAAGTTGCATTCAAATCATCGTCATGAGTAGCAGCTGCATCAAAATCATCATCATCAGTAGAAGTTGCATTCAAATCATCGTCAGTAGAAGTTGCATTCAAATCATCGTCATCGTCATCAGTAGAAGTTGCATTCAAATAATCATCAGTAGAGGTTGCATTCAAATCATCGTTATCATCAGTAGAAGTTGCATTCAAATCACCGTCATCATCGTAATCAGCAGAAGCTGCATTCAAATCATCATCATCATCAGTAGAAGCTGCACTCAAATCATCGTCATCAGTAGAAGTTGCATTCAAATCACCGTCATCATCGTAATCAGCAGAAGTTGCATTCAAATCATCATGATCATCAGTAGAAGCTGCACTCAAATCATCATCATCATCATAGGAAGTTGCATTCCAATCATCGTCATAGGTAAATTTGCATTCAAATTATCGTCATCAGTAGAAGTTGCATTCAAATCATCGTCATCAGTAGAAGTTGCATTCAAATCATCGTCATCAGTAGAAGTTGCATTCAAATCATCGTCATCAGTAGAAGTTGCATTCAAATCATCGTCATCGTCAGTAGAAGTTGCATTGAAATCATCGTCAGTAGAAGTTGCATTCAAATCATCGTCATCAGTAGAAGTTGCATTCAAATCATCGTCATCAGTAGAAGTTGCATTCAAATCATCGTCATCAGTAGAAGTTGCATTCAAATCATCGTCATCAGTAGAAGTTGCATTCAATTCATTGTCATCAGTAGAAGTTGCATTTCAAATCATCGTCATTAGTAGCAGCTGCATCAAAATCATCGTCATCAGTAGAAGTTGCATTCAAATAATCGTCATTATCATCAGTAGAAGCTGCATTCAAATCATCATCAGTAAAAGTTGCATTCAAATCATCATCAGTAGAGGTTGCATTCAAATCATCGTTATCATCAGTAGAAGTTGCATTCAAATCACCGTCATCATCGTAATCAGCAGAAGCTGCATTCAAATCATCATGATCATCAGTAGAAGCTGCACTCAAATCATCGTCATCAGTAGAAGTTGCATTCAAATCACCGTCATCATCATAATCAGAAGAAGTTGCATTCAAATCATCGTCATAAGTAAATTTGCATTCAAATCATCATCATCGTCACCAGTAGATGTTACATTCAAATCATCATCAGTAGAAGTTGCATTCAAATCACCGTCATCATCGTAATCAGTAGAAGTTGCATTCAAATCGTCATCAGTAGAAGTTGCATTCAAATCATCGTCATCAGCAGAAGTTGTGGGGAGCGGTGGTGCAGCGGTTAGCGCTACGCTGCGCTATGAAACCCGGCGACCCGGCTTCGATTCCCGCTCACGGCCAACACCGCCGGTGACGATCATCCTGAACCGGTCCCGGGGCCTCCCCTAGGTCGACTCGGCCTCAAAACGAGCAACCCGGCGCGCGGTGCGTGGCGAACATCGCCAGCGCTGGGGGGGGGGGAAGACAAAGGCGGCCGGGCGTGTTGCCGGCCACACCCCACCCGCTCCCTCGTGTGGGCGATTGTCTCCCACCGGCGTGCGACGGGGCTACACGGTGGGATCTTTGCCTTTGCCTGCGTGCGGTTTGACAGCGCCAAGGCCGAGGACGATGACGAGGACGATGACGACGGGAAGAAGATGAAGAAGATGAAGAGCAGCAGCGGCAGCAGCGGCAGCAGCGGCGGAAACTGCAACCCGGGCCTGGCGCGGGATGACGATGATGGCGATGGCGATGGCGACGGCGCCAGCCAGCTCCGCACACAGATGTAGAACGGGACCGCGTGCGGTTACTCAGTGTCCGCTCCGTCGCATCGCTGGCAGAGAGCCATTGCGTGCAACCCGGCTCTGCCACTGGCGAGGTCGCAAGCGACGCGGCCCCACCGCGATCACCACCACCCCCCCCCTCTCCCACCACCACCCTCCACCACAACCGTTACGGTCGCTTTTAACAGACTCGACAGAAATTCCGGAACATCGTTTTGGTTTTTTTTTTGACATCCGAGAAAGCTTCGGAGTATGTTTTGGTTTTTCATGCGGTCTGTTAAGCAACAACACACACTACACTACACACACTACACACACACACCAGGACAAAGATCCCCCGTGTTAGTCTCTAACAGGACTGTAGGGGCAAGTGCTGTTAGCGAGTAGCAGCAGCACTTATACACAGACAAAGATCCCCCGTGTTAGTCTCTAACAGGACTGTAGGGGCAAGTGCTGTTAGCGAGTAGCAGCAGCAGCACCTACACACAGACAAAGATCCCCCGTGTAGCCTCTAACAGGCTGTAGGGGCAAGTGCTGTTAGCAAGCAGCAGCAGTACCTATACACAGACAACGATCCCCCGTGTAGCCTCTAACAGGCTGTAGGGGAAAGTGCTGTTAGCGAGTAGCAGCACCTATGAAGGCCGGAACTGCACACGAGGGGGTGGGTGGTCAGCATCACGCCCGGCCGCCTTTGTCTCCCCAGTGGCGATGTTTACTGCTACACACCGCACCGAGTTACTCATTTGAGGCTGAGTCGACCTAGGGGAGATCCAGGACCGGTTCAGATAATCGCAACTGGTGGTGTTGGCCGTGAGCGGGAATCGAACTCGGGTCGCCAGGTTCGTAGCGCTGACTCCTAAAAATAATTGCGAGTAAGTTTGTAATTAAACGGGGGATCTTTCTTGAACGTTGTTTTATTTTTAAATTTAAAACGCGGTGACCTTCAATTCTAGATTTTAAGCTTTCGTGACTGCAAGGATTCATGCTCTCAGGTAAAAATCAATAAAATAAATTAATGTAGTTTTCATTTATTTTATTGATTTTTACCTACGTGACTTTACCGTAGGTATGGGTGACCTTTAAATCTGTTGTCACGGGGTCACCGAAACCCAGCCCCGACTCAGACTCGACCGGGGTTGGAGACTCTTTAAGCGGTGTACCTTTAACGCGATCGTTCTAATTGATGTCGATTAACTTTCGCAACGCGATTGATAAAGTTTTGCTTCACCATGAACTGGAGTACGGCGTAACACTTTTGCTTTTTCTCCCCGGCCGGCGCTAACGCCTCTGCGTCTTTCGCTACGATTCGTGCGTGAGACGTGAACTAAGCTGTTAAACCTTAACAACAACAACAACCGCCATTCGCCACTAAGTGGCGTGGACGTCACCACGACGCTTGTGCCAGGCCATGTGCACCTTGAGGCCATCACGTGAAGTGTCGAACGCCCGCTGGCATGAGGTCACGGGGCAGACCCAGCAGGTGCCACGGGTCGACTGACTGATATGACTGGCTGATGCACCACCTGTGCCCCCTACTGTGACAACCTGCTGTGCTTTAGCCACCCGGCGCTCCGCTCGTTGTTATGAGCGTCGCTCCTCCGCCCTCCGTTGTTGTTGGAGGGCGACTGCCTCCAACTGCCCAGTAGCGTCCTTCACGAGCCTCCTCCACAGAGGCCGATCTTGACACCGCTGGTACCAGTCATCGGCAAGTCCACTCAGCTCCACGTCCTCATGTACCACATCACTCCATCTCTTCTCTAGCCCGTGCCGCGCCCGCTTAGCCCCCTCAATCCGGCCGAACAAAAGCTGTTTCGGCATGCGGTGGCTGGGCATGCGGGCTACATGACCCAGCCATCGCAGCCTTCCCCGCCGGAGGAGCTCACCAATGCGACCCTGCCGAGATCTTTCAAGGATTTGTGATCTCCTCACACAATCCAGTCTGGTTAAACCCAGGATGGATCGTAGGCAGGCCAGCCTAAATGTTTCTAACCAGCGAAGATGTTCCATTAAGGGGGTCCACGTTTCGCAAGCGTAGAGAAGGGAGGGAATGACCGTGGCCGAGAAGACCTGAAGCTTAGTGCAAAGCGACAGACCAGGTAGCTTCCACACAGCGTTACGCAACCGATGAAAAGATATTGCCGCTCGACTGATTCGGAGTGAGACCTCTGCTGTTAAACTGGAGCCGGTCATAAGCACACTGCCCAGGTATGGGAAACTCTCCACTCGCTCCACAACTGCCCCATCACCGATTGGGAGTTGTGGGGGTGGAGTGTCCGATGGTACAAAATACCCAGGCAGGTGCTTAGTTTTGGAGGGGCTGATGGTAAGGCCCCACCTCTTAGTGGCACGCTCCAGTCTCAGCAGCAGCGTCTCCAACTCCTCCTCTGAATGAGCAGCTATTACCAAATCATCAGCATACATAACGTGGTTGAGCAATAGGGAGCCATCCCTTGACCGCACCCGGGCATCGATCAGCCTCCCATTATATCTGTACCATATGGAGATTCTCCCGGTACAGCTATTAAAGGCTTCACGAACTACGTGGTCAAAATATATGTTAAATAATGTGGGAGCCAGAGGACATTCCTGTCGCATGCCAAGGTGTACAGGGAATGGCTCTGACTCCCGACCACGTAGTTTTACCCGGGCCTTAACGCACACCCACACACCTCCAACAACAACCGCCATTCGCCACTAAGTGGCGGTGACGTCACCACGACGCTTGTGCCAAGCCATGTGCACCTTGAGGCCACGTGGAGTGTCGAACGCCCGCTGGCAGGAGGTCACAGGGCAGACCCAGGTGCCATGGGTCGACTGACTGAGATGACTGGCTGATGCACCACCTGTGCCCCCTACTGTGCCAACCTGCTGTGCTTTAGCCACCCGGCGCTTCGCTCGTTGTTGTGAGTGTCGCTCCTCCGCCCTCCGTTGTTGTTGGAGGGCGACTACCTCCAACTGCCCAGTAGCGTCCTTCACGAGCCTCCTCCACAGAGGCCAATCTTGACACCCACCGCCGGTACCAGTCATTGGCAAGTCCACTCAGCTCCACGTCCTCCTGTACCACATCACTCAATCTCTTCTCTAGCCCGTGCCCCGCCCGTTTAGCCCCCTCGATCCGGCCGAACAAAAGCTGTTTCGGCATGCGGTGGGTGGGCATGCGGGCTACATGGCCCAGCCAACGCAGCCTTGCCTGCCGGAGGAGCTCACCGATGGGACCTTGCCCAGATCTTTCAAGGATTTGTGAGCTCCTCACACAATCCAGCCTGGTTAAACCCAGGATGGTTCGTAGGCAGTCTAGCCTAAATGTTTCTAACCGGTGAAGATGTTCCATTAAGGGGGTCCACGTTTCGCAAGCGTAGAGAAGGGAGGGAATGACTGTGGCCGAGAAGACCTGAAGCTTAGTGCGGAGCGACAGACCAGGTAGCTTCCACACAGCGTTACGCAACCGATGAAAAGATAATGCCGCTCGACTGATTCGCAGTGAGACCTCTGCTGTTAAACCGGATCCGGTCATGAGCACACTGCCCAGCTATGGGAAACTCTCCACTGTCTCCACAACTGCCCCATCACCGATTGGGAGTTATGGGGGTGGAGTGTCCGATGTTACAAAATACCCAGGCAGGTGCTTAGTTTTGGTGGGGCTGATGGTAAGGCCCCACCTCTTAGTGGCAAGCTCCAGGTTCAGCAGCAGCGTCTCCATCTCCTCCTCTGAATGAGCAGCAATTACCAAATCATCGGCATACATAACGTGGTTGAGCAATAGTGAGCCATCCCTTGACCGCACCCGGGCATCGATCAGCCTCCCATTGTACCTGTACCAAATGGAAATTTCCGCGGTACAGCTATTGAAGGCTTCACGAACTACGTGGTCAAAATAGATGTTAAATAATGTGGGAGCCAGAGGACATCCCTGTCGCACCCCAAGGTGTACAGTGAATGGCTTTGACTCCCGGCCACGTAGTTTTACCCCACACACACCCACACACATACACCTACACACACAACAACAACAACCGCCATTCGCCACTAAGTGGCGGTGACGTCACCACGACGTTTGTGCCACACACACCAACACACACTCACACACCCACACACCCCACAAACACACCGACACCCACACACACACCCACACATACACACCCACACACCCACACACACCCACCCACACACTCACACACCCACACACTCACACACCCACACACCCCCACACACCCACCCACCCACACACGCACACCCACACATACACCCACAACAACAACAACAACCGCCATTCGCCACTAAGTGGCGGTGACGTCACCACGACGCTTGTGCCAGGCTATGTGCACCGTGAGGCCACGTGAAGTGTCGAACGCCCGCTGGCAGGAGGTCACGGGGCAGACCCAGGTGCCACGGGTCGACTGACTGAGATGACTGGCTGATGCACCACCTGTGCCCCCTACTGTGCCAACCTGCTGTGCTTTAGCCACCCGGTGCTCCGCTCGCTGTTGTGAGCGTCGCTCCTCCGCCCTCCGTTGTTGTTGGAGGGCGACTGCCTCCAACTGCCCAGTAGCATCCTTCACGAGCCTCCTCCACAGAGGCCGATCTTGACACCGCTGGTACCAGTCATCGGCAAGTCCACTCAGCTCCACGTCCTCCTGTACCACATCACTCCATCTCTTCTCTAGCCCGTGCCGCGCCCGCTTAGCCCCCTCAATCCGGCCAAACAAAAGCTGTTTCGGCATGCGGTGGCTGGGCATGCGGGCTACATGACCCAGCCATCGCAGCCTTGCCTGCCGGAGGAGCTCACCGATGGGACCCTGCCCAGATCTTTCAAGGATTTGTGAGCTCCTCACACAATCCAGTCTGGTTAAACCCAGGATGGATCGTAGGCAGGCCAGCCTAAATGTTTCTAACCGGCGAAGATGTTCCATTAGGGGGGTCCACGTTTCGCAAGCGTAGAGAAGGGAGGGAATGACCGTGGCCGAGAAGACCTGAAGCTTAGTGCGGAGCGACAGACCAGGTAGCTTCCACACAGCGTTACGCAACCGATGAAAAGATATTGCCGCTCGACTGATTCGGAGTGAGACCTCTGCTGTTAAACTGGAGCCAGTCATAAGCACACTGCCCAGGTATGGGAAACTCTCCACTCTCTCCACAACTGCCCCATCACCGATTGGGAGTTGTGGGGGTGGAGTGTCCGATGGTACAAAATACCCAGGCAGGTGCTTAGTTTTGGTGGGGCTGATGGTAAGGCCCCACCTCTTAGTGGCACGCTCCAGTCTCAGCAGCAGCGTCTCCAACTCCTCCTCTGACTGAGCAGCTATTACCAAGTCATCAGCATACATAACGTGGTTGAGCAATAGGGAGCCATCCCTTGACCGCACCCGGGCATCGATTAGCCTCCCATTATATCTGTACCATATGGAGATTCCCCCGGTACAGCTATTGAAGGCTTCACGAACTACGTGGTCAAAATAGATGTTAAATAATGTGGGAGCCAGAGGACATCCCTGTCGCACCCCAAGGTGTACAGGGAATGGCTCTGACTCCCGGCCACGTAGTTTTACCCGGGCCCGCTCACCATCATGAAGGTCCTTAATGATCGTGAGCAGAGGGTCAGGTACTCCAAAAGCACGAAGAACGACCCAGAGCCCAGGCCTACTGATGGTATCATAGGCCTTGACCAGGTCAATAAAGCAGAGATGTAGGTCTTGTTGGAATTCCCTACACCTCTGCTGTAGCAGACGGACAGAAAATATGGCATCTGTGCAGGACCGCCCTTTCCTGAAACCGCATTGGGGCTCCGCAAGCCTCTCCTCAGCGTGCCTGGCAAGGCGATGCTGAATAAACCTTGCCAGGACCTTTCCCGGCACACTGAGGAGTGAGATGCCCCTGTAGTTGTTACAGTCTGTGCGGTCCCCCTTCTTAAAAAGGGGGACCACCAGGGCATCGTTCCAATCCTGCGGAACCCGTCCAGTGGTCCAGACTGTTGTTATGATGTCATATAGGGCAGTCTGAGCACAAACGCCACCCTCCCTCAGCATTTCGCTTGGGAGATCATCTCTGCCCGCTGCCTTTCCTGGTCTCAGACTCCGGATCGCCTTCAATACTTCCTCAGCAGATGGCACCTCAGCCAGCCACTCACAGGGGGTGACTTCATCCACACACACACCCACACACACACCCCAAAAAAGATCCCCCATATAGCCTTAACAGACTGTTAAGGGGAGCGGTAGTGTAGCGGTTAGCGCGCTGCGCTATGAATCTGGCGACCCGGGTTCGATTCCCGCTCACGGCCAACACCAGTGACGATTATCTGAACCGGTCCCGGGCCTCCCCTAGGTCGACTCAGCCAAAAATCAGTACCTGGTGCGGTGTGTAAACATTGCCACTAGGGAGGCAAAGGCGGTCGGGCGTGGTGCTGGCCACCCACCCCCTCGTGTACCGTTCTGGCCTTCAAAGGTGCTCGCTAACAGCACTTGCCCCTACACACACCCCCACACACACACACACCCACACACACACACACCCACACACAAACACCATGTGTCACACCGGCAATAAACCACGGCAAGGCGATGTCTTTGATGCTCAATATTTAATGTGCCTCACGTGCTGCACTAACACGACACTACCGCCACGACACAAAGCGACCACCACCATACTTCACCTGACACATCACCACGCCTGTGTTAACGCTGTGCCTTGGGAGCCAAGCTGGCGGATTTCTTTCACGTTTTTGGGGTGCACTTTGGAACTGTGTCCGCCTCTATGGGAAGCGTGGTGGTGGAGTGTTTGTGTGTGTGTATGTATGTGTGTGTGTGTTTGTGTGTGTGTGTATGTGTGTCACTGTGTGTGTGTGTCAGTGTGTGTGTCAGTATGTGTGTCAGTATGTGTGTCAGTGTGTGTGTCAGTGTGTGTGTCAGTGTGTGTGTCAGTGTGTGTGTGTGTCAGTGTGTGTCAGTGTGTGTCAGTGTGTGTCAGTGTGTCAGTGTGTGTGTGTCAGTATGTGTGTGTGTCAGTGTGTGTGTGTCAGTGTGTGTGTCAGTGTGTGTGTCAGTATGTGTGTGCGGTAGTGTAGTGGTTAGCGCTACACCTCGCATCGAAACCTGGCAACCCGGGTTCGACTCCCGTTCACGGCCAACACCGGTGACGATTTATATGAACCGATCCTGGGCCTCGCCTAGATCGACTCAGCCTCAAATAAGTACCTGGTGCGGTGTGTAGTAAACATCGCCACTGGGGAGACAAAGGCGGCCGGGCGTGGTGCCGGCCACCCACCCCCTCGTGTGCCGTGCCGGCCTTCGTAGGTGCTGCTACTCGCTGACCTTCTATGACCTCCTGTCACAGGTGCTGGCTAAAGTGGCCCCTCGGGATAGAGTCATCTTGTTGGGTGACTTCAATGCCCGAGTTGGTCATGATGCTGGCACCTGGTCTGGAGTGATTGGAAGGCATGGGCCAGATCAGCTCAATAACAACGGAAGGAGGCTGCTAGATTTTTGTGCAGCCCATGGGCTTGTAATTACCAACGCGCTGTTCCGGCATCGGCGCATCCACACAACATCATGGATGCATGCCGGGTCCAATCAAGAAACAGCTGCTGGACTACATAGTGACGGAACAGCGGATGCGAGCCCATGTCCTTGACACCAGGGCCTACCGTGGAGCTGATCTGCCCACTGACCATCGACTTGTCATCTGTAAGATGCGCCTGCCATTCTTCCACTCCGGTGGTGAGCGTACACCCAGGCACCCCATTCAAACCCACAGTGGCCTGGTCTCAGCTAGCTGATGAAAGTTGCAAGCGAGAATCTCACCGTCACTTGCGGCTGGGGTTGGCATCGTCTCCCACTCCTCTCCATCTGATGCTGAGGGGCAAATGGGTGAGGTTCAGACCTGTGGCTCATGTAGCTGCAATAGCTGCATTTGGGAATGCGGTGCCGACCTCCCCAGAGCCCCTGGCTGAAGGAGGAGGTTTTCCGGCTGGTTATGAGAAAACGCGAGGCTTGGGGAGAATGAGGAGGCTTACCTCGGCCTTCGCTCAGATATTCGGAGAGCCTTGAAGCACTGCGAGGATGAGTGGTGGCCGTGGGTTACTGTTGAGATGGAAATCCGCCTCGGTAACCCGCAATCGCGAATCACTGTTTAATTCCACCAAACAAGTTACTTTCAGCGCCTCAGTTATCACCATTCTTCAGGGAAAGAACGCTCAATCCGACCTTCGACATCCACCCCCCCCCCCCCCCCCCAGGGACTGGTCTGCAGGTTTTGCCGAGCATTTCTGTGAGGTCCCTGGGTGAGGGGAATTCCCTCGGCACGGACAACATCGTGGGGCAAGGTGGGGATGGCCCTGCCAGGGCTGTGGTGCCTCAAATATTGGCAGAAGTTGCCAACCCTTCTGAGTGGCTGCCTGAGGTGCCATCTGTGCAGGAGGTGTGAGGGACCAGGAAAATCACCGGGCAGAGACGATCTCCCAAGCAGTATATGCTGAGGGAGGGTGGCATCTGTGTGCAGACTGCCCTGTGTGACATCACCACAACTGCCTGGACCACAGGACGGGTTCCGCAGGATTGGAAGGATGGCCCTAGTGGTCCCGCTCTATTAACGAGAGGGGACCACCAGGTATCCTGGTGGACTCCCAGTGTGACGGGAAAGGTCCTGGCAAGGATAATTATTCAACATCGCCTTGCCAGGCACGCTGAGGAGAGTCTTGCGGAGCCCCAGTGCGGTTTCAGGAAAGGGCTGTGTGGAAGCTACCTGGTCTGTCGCTCCGCACAAAGCTTCGGGTCTTCTCGGCCACGGTCATTCCCTCCCTTGTCTACGCTTGCGAAACGTGGACCACCCTAATGGAACATCTTCGTGTTTTTGTACGTGTGTGTTTGTATGTGTGTGTTTGTTTTTGCGTATGTTTTTTATGTATGTGTTTATGTGTGTTTGTGCGTATGTATGTGTACGTATGTTAGTATGTATATGTGTGTGTATGCAAGTCCACTCTGAAATAAAACGATGACCAAATCACTCCAGAGTAACCTTGTTTTTTGGGTACACGTTGTGAAAGTGCGGGTGGAGTTTAAATGAATCATTGCGGCATACGTTGAGAAAGTGTTTGTGTGGCCGTATCTAATGCATATTTTGGGGTACACGTTGTGAAAGTGTTTGTGTGGACGTGTCTAATGAATACAATTTTTGGGGTATACTTTGTTAAACTGCTCGTGGCTGTCCCATCTTTTGGGGGGTGACCTTGTTTAAAGTGCTTCTGGCTGTCCAATTAAATATTTTCTTTTGGGTACCCTTTGTTAAACTGTTGGTCGCTGTCCGATTCACCTCTATGGGGTGGGGGATACCCTTTGGGAAAGGGCTTGTGGCCTGTCTAACGAATCTCCATTTTCTTGGGGTACCCTTTCTTAAAGTGCTCATCGCTGTCCATTCTTTTTTGGGGTACCCTTTGGGAAAGTCCTTCTGGCCCTGGAGTCGTGGCCGCTACCGGAGTCGTCGCTACAGAACGGAGTCGTCGCTATTGAGCCCTACCAGCACACCACCACCACCACAACCACCACCACGACGGCAAAACCCCCAAAACCCCAAACCAACCGAGACGTTACAAGCGGAGGGGGTGAACATCCGCAGGACGACGACGAAGACGACGAAGACGACGACGAGGAGGAGGAGGCTGCGAGGCACGGAACGAACGTTCCAACACCGCCAGGCTCCCTTAATCCTGCACGCAACGAACAGAAAAATAAAAGACGCGAAGGTCCCCCGTGTAGCCTCTAACAGGCTGTAGGGGCAAGTGCTGTTAGCGAGTAGCAGCAGCACCTATACACAGACAAAGATCCCCCGTGTAGCCTCTAACAGGCTGTAGGGGCAAGTGCTGTTAGCGAGTAGCAGCACCGCCTATACACAGACAAAGATCCCCCGTGTAGCCTCTAACAGGCTGTAGGGGCAAGTGCTGTTAGCGAGTAGCAGCAGCGCCTATACACAGACAAAGATCCCCCGTGTAGCCTCTAACAGGCTGTAGGGGCAAGTGCTGTTAGCGAGCAGCAGCAGCATCTATACACAGACAAAGATCCCCCGTGTAGCCTCTAACAGGCTGTAGGAGCAAGTGCTGTTAGCGAGTAGCAGCAGCGCCTATACACAGACAAAGGTCCCCCGTGTAGCCTCTAACAGGCTGTAGGGGCAAGTGCTGTTAGCGAGTAGCAGCAGCACCTATACACATACAAAGGTCCCCCGTGTAGCCTCTAACAGGCTGTAGGGGCAAGTGATGTTAGCGAGTAGCAGCAGCACCTATACACAGACAAAGATCCCCCGTGTAGCCTCTAACAGGCTGTAGGGGCAAGTGCTGTTAGCGAGTAGCAGCAGCACCTATACACAGACAAAGATCCCCCGTGTAGCCTCTAACAGGCTGTAGGGGCAAGTGCTGTTAGCGAGTAGCAGCAGCACCTATACACAGACAAAGATCCCCCGTGTAGCCTCTAACAGGCTGCAGGGGCAAGTGCTGTTAGCGAGCAGCAGCAGCACCTACACACAGACAAAGATCCCCTGTGTAGCCTCTAACAGGCTGTAGGGGCAAGTGCTGTTAGCGAGTAGCAGCAGCGCCTATACACAGACAAAGATCCCCCGTGTAGGCTCTAACAGGCTGTAGAGGCAAGTGATGTTAGCGAGTAGCAGCACCGCCTATACACAGACAAAGATCCCCCGTGTAGCCTCTAACAGGCTGTAGGGGCAAGTGCTGTTAGCGAGTAGCAGCAGCACCTATACACAGACAAAGATCCCCCGTGTAGCCTCAAACAGGCTATAGGGGCAAGTGCTGTTAGCGAGCAGCACCTATACACAGACAAAGATCCCCCGTGTAGCCTCAAACAGGCTATAGGGGCAAGTGCTGTTAGCGAGTAGCAGCACCTATACACAGACAAAGGTCCCCCGTGTAGCCTCTAACAGGCTGTAGGGGCAAGTGCTGTTAGCGAGCAGCGCCTGTGAAGGCTACCGGCGCTGTGGCACACGAGGGGGGTGGGTGGCCAGCAACCACCCCCGGCCGCCTTTGTCTCCCCCGGCGAGCGATGTTCACTGCTACACACCACAGCGCATGGGGTTACTCGTTTGAGGCCGAGTCGACCTAGGGGAGGAGGGCCCAGGACCGGTTGAGACGATTCGCTGTCACGGGCTCTTCGTGGCCGTGAGCGGGGAATCGAACTCGGGTCTGGCGGGTTCGTAGTGCAGCGCTAACCGCTGCACCACCGCTCCCCACACACACACGCACAGTATAATGCCCCAATAGGGACGTTGTCATGATCATTATGATCACGATGGTAATCGTCTAAACCGTGGCTGGCGAAACCTTTATTTCTGCCAAGGGCCATTTTTAATATTTATAAAACGTCATTCGCGGGCCATACAAAATGATCAACTTAAAAATTAGCCCCGTTTATATTTGGTCAAACGTTTCATTAACTCGCTTCCCCAACCCCCTAATGCGATGGGCTGGAACCGCTTTAAATCTATAATTAAATCTAGAATGGAACCGCTTCTCTTTGGGCGAGGCGTGGTGATGATGTTAGCCGGTACTGACGATGTTGTCGCTGCTACTCGCGACCGCTTTTCAAGGCTTTTGCTCTCCTAGATTTATCGAATTTCGAGGCCCCCGCCCGCGGTTGCCTTGGCAGGGCAAGAGACCCAAATGATTCCGCGGGCCTCAGACGGCCCGCGGGACGGACGGTTCCCCAAGCCCCTGTTGTAAACGGGCATTCTGTTATCATGGGCTATATATAAACAAATTATAGTATATATTCTTGGTTCTTTCGGTAAAATCACCACGTAGAAGAAGAAACAATAAAATAATAAAAATATAAAACAATAAAATTCTCACGACGTTTCGACTGCAACACGAGAAGCAATCATCATCAGGTGTGAAAACCACAGCAAGAACAATTTGAAAAAAGTGGCGGGTTTTTTTTTACGTTAGAACCACGGAGAGCGATTTGGCAGTTGATTCAGATGGACGAGTCCATCTATGTTCGGAAAAGAGGAGGGGGGAGACGAAAATAATGGATGCGGTCTGAAAGCCACCGTAAGCGTGAACAATCAATTAAGACCCGAAATGGTTTATCAAATCCGTCCAATGATTGCTAAGCCAGAATCCATCTTCTCGGTTGAAATTGTCTCTGTGTTTGTGTATGTGGATAGCCTCATGAACGAATCTCTCTCATGGTAGCCAGATGGCTTGCAAAAGAACCTCTGTCTTGGAGAAGTCAATGTCACGTGAACCTACTGAATTATAACAGTGATCTGCCACGGCCGAGGTGTTGGTCCTACCGTGTATTAGGTCTGCTTTGTGTTCACGAATGCTTTGGTTTTCACACCTGATGATGATTGCTTGCGTTGCAGTCGAAACATCGTGATAATTTTATTGCTTTATATTTTTATTATTTTATTGTTTCCCTTCTACGTGGTGGTGACTTTACCGAAAGAACCAAGAATATGAATCACTGCAGTCACGAAAGCTTTAAATCAAAATTGTAATATCTTCTTTGGTTCTTTTGGTAAAGTCACGTAGAATGATAATAAAATAATAAATTGATAAAATAACACAATAATATTCTCACGACGTTTCGGCCACAACACAAGCGGCCTTCATCAGGTGAAGGGGGCGAGACTGTCTGGTAGGACAGCGCTGGAGTTTGTCTGGTAGGACAGCGCTGGAGTTTTTCACTCCAGCGCTGTCCTACCAGACAGTCTCGCCCCCTTCACCTGATGAAGGCCGCTTGTGTTGTGGCCGAAACGTCGTGAGAATATTATTGTGTTATTTTATTTTATCAATGTATTATTTTATTATCATTCTACGTGACTTTACCGAAAGAACCAAAGAAGATGAATCATTGCAGTCACGAAAGCTTTAAATCGAAAATTGTAATATGTTTTATACCGTTCTCTGGCAATAAAACAGGCGTCGTTTTAAGATGTTCAAACACCAAATGGAGTCAGGCTTGATTTGAAGCTTTCATGACTGCAGGCATCCACACTCTTTGGCTCTTTCGGTAAAGTCACGTAGGTATAATAATAATAGATCACGACGTTTCGATCGCAACACAAGCGGTCGTCATCAGGTGAGACAAACACAGCAAGACTTGCAAGACATCTCACCCATCTCACCCATCCCACTCATCCCACCCATCTCACCCATCTCACCCATCCCACTCATCTCACTCATCTCACCCATCCCACCCATCTCACCATCCCACCCATCCCACCCATCTCACCATCCCACCCATCCCACCCATCCCACCCATCTCACCATCCCACCCATCCCACCATCCCACCATCCCACTCATCTCACCATCTCACCCATCCCACTCATCTCACTCATCTCACCCATCCCACCCATCCCACCCATCTCACCATCTCACCCATCCCACTCATCCCACCCATCTCACCCATCTCACCCATCCCACCCATCTCACCATCCCACCCATCCCACCCATCTCACCATCCCACCCATCCCACCCATCTCACTCATCTCACCATCCCACCATCTCACCAACCCACCATCCCACCCATCCCACCATCCCACCCATCTCACCATCTCACCCATCCCACCATCCCACCCATCTCACCATCCCACCCATCCCACCCATCTCACCATCCCACCATCCCACCCATCCCTCCCATCCCACCCATCCCACCCATCACTCCCATCTCACCATCTCACCATCCCACCCATCTCACCTTCCCACTCATCTCACCATCGCACCCATTCAACCTATCTCACCATGCCACCCATCTCACCATCCCACCCATCCCACCTATCTCACCATCCCACCCATCTCACCATCCCTCCCATTCCATCATCCCACCCATCCCACCCATCCCACCCATCTCACCATCCCGCCCATCCCTCCCATCTCACCATCTCACCATCCCACCCATCTCACCACCTCACCTATCTCACCATCCCACCCATCTCAAAATCCCACCCATCTCACCATCCCACCCAACCCACCAATCTCACCATCCCGCCCATCTCACCATCTCACCATCCCACCCATCCCACCCATCCCTCCCATCCACCCATTCCACCCATCCCACCCATCCCTCCCATCCCACCCATCTCACCCATCCCACCCATCTCACCATCCCACCCATCTCACCATCCCACCCATCTCACCCATCCCACCCATCTCACCATCCCACCCATCCCTCCCATCTCACCATCCCACTCATCTCACCATCCCTCCTATCTCACCATCTCACCATCCCACCCATCCCTCCCATCTCACCATCTCACCATCTCACCATCTCACTCATCCCACTCATCTCACCATCCCACCCATCCCACCCATCTCACCATCCCACCCATCCCACCCATCCCACCTATCTCACCATCCCACCCATCTCACCATCCCACCCATCCCACCCATCCCACCCATCTCACCATCCCACCCATCCCACCCATCTCACCATCCCACTCATCTCACCATCCCTCCTATCTTACCATCCCACCCATCCCACCCATCCCTCCCATCTCACCATCCCACTCATCTCACCATCCCTCCTATCTCACCATCTCACCATCCCACCCATCCCTCCCATCTCACCATCTCACCATCTCACCATCTCACCCATCCCACTCATCTCACCATCCCACCCATCCCACCCATCTCACCATCCCACCCATCCCACCCATCCCACCCATCAAACCATCCCACCCATCTCACCATCCCACCCATCCCACCCATCTCACCATCCCACCCATCCCTCCCATCTCACCATCCCACCCATCTCACCATCTCACCCATCCCACCATCCCACCCATCTCACCATCCCACCCATCCCACCCATCTCACCATCCCACCATCCCACCCATCCCTCCCATCCCACCCATCCCACCCATCACTCCCATCTCACCATCTCACCATCCCACCCATCTCACCATCCCACTCATCTCACCATCGCACCCATTCAACCTATCTCACCATCCCACCCATCTCACCATCCCACCCATCCCACCTATCTCACCATCCCACCCATCTCACCATCCCTCCCATTCCATCATCCCACCCATCCCACCCATCCCACCCATCTCACCATCCCGCCCATCCCTCCCATCTCACCATCTCACCATCCCACCCATCTCACCACCTCACCTATCTCACCATCCCACCCATCTCAAAATCCCACCCATCTCACCATCCCACCCATCCCACCAATCTCACCATCCCGCCCATCTCACCATCTCACCATCCCACCCATCCCACCCATCCCTCCCATCCCACCCATTCCACCCATCCCACCCATCCCTCCCATCCCACCCATCTCACCCATCCCACCCATCTCACCATCCCACCCATCTCACCATCCCACCCATCTCACCCATCCCACCCATCTCACCATCCCACCCATCCCTCCATCTCACCATCCCACTCATCTCACCATCCCTCCTATCTCACCATCTCACCATCCCACCCATCCCTCCCATCTCACCATCTCACCATCTCACCATCTCACCCATCCCACTCATCTCACCATCCCACCCATCCCACCCATCTCACCATCCCACCCATCTCACCATCCCACCCATCTCACCCATCCCACCCATCTCACCATCCCACCCATCCCTCCCATCTCACCATCCCACTCATCTCACCATCCCTCCTATCTCACCATCTCACCATCCCACCCATCCCTCCCCTCTCACCATCTCACCATCTCACCATCTCACCCATCCCACTCATCTCACCATCCCACCCATCCCACCCATCTCACCATCCCACCCATCTCACCATCCCACCCATCTCACCCATCCCACCCATCTCACCATCCCACCCATCCCTCCCATCTCACCATCCCACTCATCTCACCATCCCTCCTATCTCACCATCTCACCATCCCACCCATCCCTCCCATCTCACCATCTCACCATCTCACCATCCCACCCATCCCACTCATCTCACCATCCCACCCATCCCACCCATCTCACCATCCCACCCATCCCACCCATCCCACCCATCTCACCATCCCACCCATCTCACCATCCCACCCATCCACCCATCTCACCATCCCACCCATCCCTCCCATCTCACCATCCCACTCATCTCACCATCCCTCCTATCTTACCATCCCACCCATCCCACCCATCCCTCCCATCTCACCATCCCACTCATCTCACCATCCCTCCTATCTCACCATCTCACCATCCCACCCATCCCTCCCATCTCACCATCTCACCATCTCACCATCTCACCCATCCCACTCATCTCACCATCCCACCCATCCCACCCATCTCACCATCTCACCCATCCCACCCATCCCACCCATCAAACCATCCCACCCATCTCACCATCCCACCCATCCCACCCATCTCACCATCCCACCCATCCCTCCCATCTCACCATCCCACTCATCTCACCATCCCTCCTATCTCACCATCTCACCATCCCACCCATCCCTCCCATCTCACCATCTCACCATCTCACCATCTCACCCATCCCACTCATCTCACCATCCCACCCATCTCACCATCCCACCCATCCCACCCATCTCACCATCCCACCATCCCACCCATCCCTCCCATCCCACCCATCCCACCCATCACTCCCATCTCACCATCTCACCATCCCACCCATCTCACCATCCCACTCATCTCACCATCGCACCCATTCAACCTATCTCACCATCCCACCATCCCACCCATCTCACCAACCCACCATCCCACCCATCCCACCATCCCACCCATCTCACCATCTCACCCATCTCACCATCCCACCCATCTCACCATCCCACCCATCCACCCATCTCACCATCCCACCCATCCCACCCATCCCACCCATCTCACCATCCCACCCATCTCACCATCCCACCCATCCCACCCATCTCACCATCCCACCCATCCCTCCCATCCCACCCATCCCACCCATCTCACCATCCCACCCATCTCACCATCTCACCCATATCACCATCCCACCCATCTCACCATCTCACCATCCCACTCATCTCACCATCCCACCCATCCCACCCATCTCACCATCTCACCATCTCACCATCCCACCCATCCCACCCATCCCACCCATCTCACTCATCTCACCATCCCATCCATCCCACCCATCTCACCATCCCACCCATCCCACCCATCTCACCATCCCACCCATCTCACCATCCCACCCATCCCTCCCATCTCACCATCCCACCCATCCCACCCATCCCACCCATCCCAACCATCTCACCCATCTCACCATCCCACCCATCTCACCATCCCACCCATCCCACCCATCCCTCCCATCTCACCATCTCACCATCCCACCCATCTCACCATCCCACCCATCCCTCCCATCTCACCATCCCACCCATCCCACCCATCCCACCCATCCCACCCATCTCACCCATCTCACCATCCCACCCATCCCACCCATCCCACCCATCCCACCCATCTCACCATCGCACCCATCTCACCATCCCACTCATCTCACCATCCCACCCATCCCACCCATCTCACCATCCCACCCATCTCACCATCCCACCCATCCCACCCATCTCACCATCCCACCCATCCCTCCCATCTCACCATCCCACCCATCTCACCATCCCACCCATCTCACCATCCCACCCATCCCACCCATCTCACCATCTCACCATCCCACCCATCTCACCATCCCACCCATCCCTCCCATCTCACCATCCCACCCATCTCACCATCCCACCCATCTCACCATCCCACCATCCCTCCCATCTCACCATCTCACCATCCCACCCATCTCACCATCCCACCATCCCACCCATCACACCATCCCACCCATCTCACCATCCCACCATCCCACCCATCTCACCATCCCACCCATCTCACCATCTCACCATCCCACCCATCTCACCATCCCACCATCCCACCCATCTCACCATCCCACCCATCTCACCATCCCACCATCCCACCCATCTCACCATCCCACCCATCCCTCCCATCTCACCATCCCACCCATCTCACCATCCCACCCATCTCACCATCCCACCATCCCACCCATCTCACCATCTCACCATCCCACCCATCTCACCATCCCACCATCCCACCCATCTCACCATCCCACCCATCTCACCATCCCACCATCCCACCCATCTCACCATCCCACCATCCCACCCATCTCACCATCCCACCCATCTCACCATCTCACCATCCCACCCATCTCACCATCCCACCATCCCACCCATCTCACCATCCCACCCATCTCACCATCCCACCATCCCACCCATCTCACCATCCCACCCATCTCACCATCTCACCATCCCACCCATCTCACCATCCCACCATCCCACCCATCTCACCATCCCACCCATCTCACCATCTCACCATCCCACCCATCTCACCATCCCACCATCCCACCCATCTCACCATCTCACCATCCCACCCATCTCACCATCCCACCATCCCACCCATCTCACCATCCCACCCATCTCACCATCCCACCATCCCACCCATCTCACCATCCCACCCATCTCACCATCTCACCATCCCACCCATCTCACCATCCCACCCATCCCACCCATCTCACCATCCCACCCATCTCACCATCTCACCATCCCACCCATCCCTCCCATCTCACCATCCCACCCCACCTACCCCACCCACCTGTAGACGCAGCTGCAGGGAGGCCCTCAGCAGCCCCTCCAGCCCACGCTCGTTGGCCGCCCGCCCGCCTCCCGTGCGGCCCTCCAACCCGGCGGGCAGCGGCGGCCGCGGCCGGCGCCGCCGCGGGGGACCGCAGCCAGGCCTCGACCGCCGGCTCCCACGGCCCGCCGGGCCGGCCTCGCCGGTACGCCGGGGCCGGGCCGCCCGCGTGCCGGGCCGCCGCCGGGCGAGGGATCGGAACGTCGGCCGGCGGCAAAGGAGGGGACTCGAACGGCGGGTCGTGGTGACCCCCGCTCCCGCGGAACCGCGCGGCCGGACGCAGATTTCCGCCGCCGCCGGAGTCGTCCTCGTCGGAGTCTTCGTCGGAGTCTTCGAAGGCCCTCGGGCCCCCGAGGAGGCCATCGGAGAACTCGAGCAGCGGCAGCAGCCGCTGGAGGGCGGCGGCGGCGGCGGCGGCGGCGGCGACCGTCGGCCCCCTGGCCGCCGCGAGCGGGCCGGGGCCCTCCGTGGTAGCGGTGGCCGCCGTCGCGGTGGCGGCCGAGGGCGCTCCTTGCCGCGGCCTCCTCGTCGAGCTCGTCCGGCGGCGGGACGTCGTCGTCGTCGTCGTCGTCGAGGCCGTAGCCGCCGTAGCCGTCGTCGTAGCCGTCGTCGTCCACGCCGTCGTGGCCGCTCACGTCGGCCAGCGGGGAGCGGTAGCGGCCGCCGGCCGAGGAGACGCCCTTGGCGACCTGGGCCCGGGACCTGGGGCTCACGGCGTCGTCTTCCTCCTCGTCGTCGTCGTCGTCGTCACGGCCGCCGGAGGCCCTCGGCGTGTGGCCGTAGAGGTAGGCCATGGGGTTGAGGCCGCCTCTCTTATCGACGCTGGCGCCGCCCTCCGACTCCTCCACCTCCTCCACCTCATCGTCGTCGTCGTCGTCGCCGCTGTCGCCGCGCTTGCCGGTGCGGACGTTGAGTCTCGAGTCTCCGCTCCTCGGCACCGGCTGCGGAGAGCGTGCCACGCCTACGGCCGTGGCTCCGCCGTCGCCGCCGTCGTCGCCGCGGTCGCCGTGGTCGTCGCGGTTGCCGTGGTCACCGCCGCCGCGGTCGCCGCGTCCGCCGAACGAGGCGCGGCCCCTCTGCCTGTCCGCTGTGGCGAGCGCTCGCAGCAGCTCCTCCGTGAAATCTCGCGACGACTCGTTGCGGTAAGAGGGCGGCTTCTCGACCGTCGCCGCTGCCGCCGGTGGTGCCGCTGCCGCCGGTGGTGCCGGCGGTGCCGGCGGTGCCGGCGGCGGAGGAGGCGGAGGCCCCTCGGGGCTTCCCTCCGACACGCCGCTACCGTCGTTGCGGCCTGCGGCGGCGATGGTGGCGGCCCGTCGAACCCCACCAAGCCTCCGCACTCCTTCTGCTTCTCCCTCTTCTACCTCCTCCACTTCGTCGTCGTCACCACCACGGCGGTGCCGGGCGGCTTCGTCCATCAGGGCCTCGAGGGCCGGGAAGGCCTCCGCACCGTCTCCTGCCTCCTCCTCCTCCTCCTCCGCAGCCGCCGCCGCCGCTCGGGAGCCCAGCCAGGCCGGCTTCCCGCCACCACCGCCATCGCCGCCACCGCCTCCACCTCGTCCGCCGCCTCCACCTCGTCCGCCGCCTCCACCTCGTCCGCCGCCTCCACCTCCTCCGCCACCCCCCATCATCGTCGTCGTCGCCACCGCCGCCTTCAGCAGCCGTCGAGCGAGCGACCGCACGGAGCCGTCCTGGCCACCGTCCTGTGTGGCGGCGCCTGCCTCACCTTGGCCGAGTTGCTGCTGCTGCTCTTGTTGTTGTTGTTGTTGCTCTTGTTGTTGTTGTTGCTCTTGTTGTTGTTGTTGTTGCTCTTGTTGTTGTTGTTGTTGTTGTTGCTGGTGGTGGTGGTGGCGGTGGTGGCTGTGGCGGTGGTCGCCATACCCGTCGCCGTCCACCACGTGGCTTCGCGCAGGAGAGGCCTCGGCCTTGGTCACGTGGCCTCGGTGGGGCGCACGTGACGCGTGCGCAGTGGCGAGCAGCAGCAGCAGCAGCAGGGGGAGGGGGCAGCGATGGGGTGGGGCCATCGCGCTAAGGGTGGGGGAGGTGGCTGGGTGTGGGGGGGTGTGGGGGGGTGAGGGGGGTGAGGGTGTGGTGAGGGTGTGTGTGGTGTGTGTGTGGTGTGTGTGTGTGGTGTGTGTGTGGTGTGTGTGGTGTGTGTGGTGTGTGTGTGTGGTGTGTGTGTGTAGTGTGTGTGTGTGTGGTGGCTGTGGTGTGTGTGTGTGTGGTGTGTGTGTGTGGTGTGTGTGTGTGGTGTATGTGTGTGGTGTATGTGTGGTGTGTGTGTGTGGTGTATGTGTGGTGTGTGTGTGTGGTGTGTGGTGAGGGTGTGGTGTGTGTGTGGTGTGTGTGGTGTGTGTGTGGTGTGTGTGGTGTGTGGTGTGTGTGTGGTGTGTGTGTGGTGTGTGTGTGGTGTGTGTGGTGTGTGTGTGTGTGTGGTGTATGTGTGTGGTGTGTGTGTGTGTGTGGTGTGTGTGGTGTGTGTGTGTGTGGTGTGTGTGGTGTGTGTGTGTGTGTGGTGTGTGTGGTGTGTGTGTAGTGTGTGTGTGTGGTGTGTGTGTGTGGTGTGTGTGTGTGTGTGGTGTATGTGTGTGGTGTGTGTGTGTGTGGTGTGTGTGGTGTGTGTGTGTGTGTGGTGTGTGTACGTGTGGGGGTGGTGGCAGTGGTCGAGGGTGGACGTGAACAGCAGACCAAGGCTGGGAGGAGAGAGAGGAAGAGAGAAGAGAGGCGCACGCAGAGCGAAGAGAGACAGAGCGAGAGGAGAGAGAGAGGGGAGAGGCAGCGGCTCGAAGCGAATGAATGAAATGAAATGTTTGCAAGGGGGGCGCCGAGAGGAGAGGGAGGGGGAGAGGAGGGGGGAGAGAGGCAGAGGAGGGGGAGAGGAGGGGGAGGGGGGAGAGGAGGGGGGAGAGAGGGAGAGGAGGGGGAGAGGAGGGGGATAGGAGGGGGAGGAAGGGGGAGAGAGGGAGGGAGAGAGGAGGGAAAGGAGAGAGAGGGAGAGGAGGGGGAGAGGAGGGGGGAGAGAGGGAGGGAGAGGAGGGGGAGAGAGGAGGGGGAGGCGAGAGAGGGAGAGAGGGAGGGAGAGGGGAGGGAAAGGAGGGAGGGGGAGAGAGGGGGAGAGAGGGAGGGAGAGGGGAGGGACATGACCGAGTGTCCCGAGAAGGCAAAAGCCATCAATTGGAGCACAACATCGCTGCCGCACCACCTGGGAGTGTTCCTCGGACCAAAGGAGGAACCACCGCAGAGGAACTGGCTCGAGCTGGAGGAGAAGGCGAAGGAGCGGCGGGGCACCTGGAGTCGCCTGTGCAAGTTCCTCACCTTCAGGACAAAGACGTCGGTGGTGAACCAGCTGGTGACGTCCATGCTGTGGCACCGACTCTTCTCCCTGCACCCCCCATGAGCCTCGTCAACGCACTTCAGAAGCGAGTCCTCGACTTCTTCTGGTCGGGTGGAGGACACCGGAGTCGGGGCTGGGGTCCTGGCCCTGCCACTGGACGAGGGTGGTCACGGGCCGGTGTGCGTGCGGAGTCAGCTGGCCAAAAACGTTGATTATGAATAATATTGGTCGCGAAAGCCTACGTGTTAAACTGGCCACCTTCCGACTGCAGGCCGAGCAAAAGTTCCTGCACCACGCCGCCCCTGCCACCAGCCTGGAGCGTCACGGCCTCCTTCCTCCTGAAACAGCTGAGGGGGGGTCTGCAGTGCTCCAAGCGACTATTCTACATGGACCTGCAGGGCCTCCCACTGGGACAGCTGCCACCCTTCTACAGAAGCGTCCTCCAGACGTGGAGCTCCCTCGCCGTCAGGAGGCTGAACCGGCCGCGATCGGCCGAGGATCTGGTCTTCGAACCGATCCTCAGGAACACCGCAGACAAAGCCACCATCCACCACCACCGTCACCCCAGGCACGGAGAGGCGCCTCGCCAACGCGCGGCTCACCGGGACGGGAGATCTGGTGGAGCCTGAAACACGGAGGCCGGTGGCTCGGACCAGCAGACGTGGCCTGCAAAAACAGGGGGGCTGCAGTCGCTCCGGGTGGCTGCCCGGACCCTGGCCGAAGCCAAGGGGGCCTTCTTAGCGGCAGCGATGGGGAGAACGCCATCCCCATTGGCGTTGGGGATGACGAGGCCCCTCTCGGTCCCACTCCACCGGAGCTCTCAGTCGTGCCGCTGCATCGCCAATGCCAACAAACGAAGGCGGATCACAACCTGTGCCGGCTAGAAGACCTGCCGGAGGTGGCCTTCGCAAATGTCAAGAGGAAGGTGCTCTACTCCTACGTGGTCCGGTTCCACCAACAGGACACCCTGAGGAGCCACAAGGACCACGCCTGGAGAGGCCTCGCTGGAGGCAACTCCACTCCAGCCCGGCATACGACCGCGTCGGCGACCTTCAGCTGGAGCATCGCCCACGGCACCGTCGCCACCGACGCCTCCCCGGCGCGCTTCGCCGACACGTCCCCGGAGTTGCCGGTCCCGCGGTAAAGCGGAGACGGTGGCGCGCCGATACGTGGAGCGCAAGAGCCTGGACTCGCTGTGTTCAAGCGCCTGAGAAACATCCTCCTGAGGTTCAGCCTCCACTTCTCCCCGACGGTCCTCATCTTTGGATACCCGAAGGGCGACGGACCCCAACATCTTCAGGGGCTGGTCAACGTTGCTCTTCGGCTACGCCAAGCTCGCCATATACAGGGCGAGGAAGGTGGCCCTGGAGGGGCGACGTCCGGCCGGCAGCCCTGGGGCATCTTCCGCGCTCCGGTCGGAGCCAGGGGGTGTGTGGGCCGGAGTTCCGCCATGCGGCGTGGCTGACCCACGCCGTGCCGGCCTTCGAGGAGCAGTGGGCGCTGGTGCAGGGCCGCGTGCTCGGTGGCAGGCGACGGTAGAGATCTCTCTGTGCGTGCAGATTGTGAGCTGCCAGTCGGAGACCGTAGGACTGCGAGGAGGGCTGCGTGCAGATGCAGCACTTGTCGTAGTTTAAAGTGAGAAAAAAAGAAATCACGTAGAAAACAGGGGAACACAGACATGGAGGAGGGAGAGAGGAGGTAGAGAGAGAGGGGGGGGGGGGGGTAGAGAGAGGTGGGGTAGAGAGAGGGGGGTAGAGAGAGGGGGGGGGGGGGGGTAGAGAGAGGGGGGTAGAGAGAGAGAGGGGGGTAGAGAGAGAGAGGGGGTAGAGAGAGAGAGGGGGGGTAGAGAGAGAGAGGGGGTAGAGAGAGAGGGGGGTAGAAGAGAGAGGGGGGTAGAGAGAGAGGGGGTAGAGAGAGAGGGGGGTAGAGAGAGGGGGGTAGAGAGAGAGAGGGGGGTAGAGAGAGAGAGGGGGGTAGAGAGAGAGAGGGGGGTAGAGAGAGAGAGGGGGTAGAGAGAGAGAGGGGGGTAGAGAGAGAGAGGGGGGTAGAGAGAGGGGGTAGAGAGAGAGAGGGGGGTAGAGAGAGGGGGGTAGAGAGAGAGAGGGGTAGAGAGAGGGGGGTAGAGAGAGAGAGGGGGTAGAGAGAGGGGGGTAGAGAGAGAGAGGGGGGTAGAGAGAGGGGGGTAGAGAGAGAGAGAGGGGGGTAGAGAGAGAGAGGGGGGTAGAGAGAGAGAGGGGGGTAGAGAGAGAGAGGGGGGTAGAGAGAGAGAGGGGGTAGAGAGAGAGAGGGGGGTAGAGAGAGAGAGGGGGGTAGAGAGAGAGAGGGGGGTAGAGAGAGAGAGGGGGGTAGAGAGAGAGAGGGGGTAGAGAGAGAGAGGGGGGTAGAGAGAGAGGGGGTAGAGAGAGAGAGGGGGGTAGAGAGAGAGAGGGGGGTAGAGAGAGAGAGGGGGGTAGAGAGAGAGAGGGGGTAGAGAGAGAGGGGGGTAGAGAGAGAGAGGGGTAGAGAGAGAGAGGGGGTAGAGAGAGAGGGGGGTAGAGAGAGAGGGGGTAGAGAGAGAGGGGGTAGAGAGATAGAGGGGGTAGAGAGAGAGAGGGGGGTAGAGAGAGGGGGGTAGAGAGAGAGAGGGGGGTAGAGGGAGAGAGGGGGGTAGAGGGAGAGAGGGGGGTAGAGGGAGAGAGGTGGGTAGAGAGAGAGAGGGGGTAGAGAGAGAGAGGGGGTAGAGAGAGAGGGGGTAGGGAGAGGGGGGGTAGAGAGAGAGAGAGGGGGTAGAGAGAGGGGGGTAGAGAGAGAGAGAGGGGAGGAGAGAGCAGAGCGAGACATATTTTGTGAAATCTTTCATTTAAAAAGGGGGGGGGGGGGGGTTACATCAAGCAAAGCGTAAAAAAACATCGAAATGATGAACGAAACAAAGTGGCGACTACACGAAGCATCCTCTCGCTTCCTCTGATGGTAAAAAAAAATAGAGGAAGGGAGGGAGAGAGGAGGGAGAGGAGGGGGGAGAGAGGGGGGAGGAGAGTTAAGGGAGAGTTACAGAGAGAGAGGGGAGAGCGAGTGTGCGAGTGTCGTGGTGGTGGTGGGTGGGTGGTAGTGGTGGGTGGTGGTGGGTGGGTGGGTGGTAGTGTTGGGTGGTGGTGGTGGTGGGTGGGTGGGGGGTGTTGGTGGTTGGTGGTGGCGTTGGTGGGTGGTGGAGGGGTGGTGGTGGTGGTGGTAGTGGGTGGGCGGTGGTGGTGGGTGGGTGGTAGTGGTGGGTGGGTGGTAGTGGGTGGTGGTTGGTGGGTGGGTGATATTGGTGGGGTTGGTGGGTGGAGGTGAGTGGTAGTGGGTGGTAGTGGGTGGGTGATAGTGGCTGTGTTGGTGGGTGGTAGTGGGTGGTGGTGGGTGGTAGTGGGTGGGTGATAGTGGCTGTGTTGGTGGGTGGTGGTGGTGGGTGGTAGTGGGTGGGTGGTAGTGGCTGTGTTGGTGGGTGGTAGTGGTAGTGAGTGGTAGTGGGTGTGTTGGTGGGTGGTGGTGGTGGGTGGTAGTGGTAGTGGGTGGTAGTGGTAGTGGGTGGTAGTGGGTGGGTGGTAGTGGTAGCGGGTGGTAGTGGGTGGGTGATAGTGGCTGTGTTGGTGGGTGGTAGTGGGTGGGTGGTGGTGGTGGGTGGTAGTGGGTGGGTGGTAGTGGTATTGGGTGTTAGTGGGTGGGTGGTAGTGGGTGGGTGATAGTGACTG